AATAATAATAATAATAATAATAATAATAATAATAATAATATTAATAATAATAATAATAATATAATAATAATAATAATAATAATAATAATGATAATAATAATAATAATAATAATAATAATTATAATAAGATTAATGATAATTATTATAATAATAATAATTATAATAATAATAATAATGATAATAATAATAATGATGATGATGATGATGATAATGATGATAATGATGATGATGATGGTGGTGGTGGTGGTGGATAGTTATGCCTTTTGACAATTAATTAATTGTTATTGTTGTAATGAATACTAAATGTGGAAATTGACTTTAGATAATATTTTTGGGGTTGTTACAGGGACTGGAGGGACCTGTGACCTAGTCTAGTAAATTAGTTCGCATAAGTAAGCATATCAAGCATGATGTAACAAAAATCAAGTTAAAGTTCCATAAGACACTATATTACATTTTTAATAAACTAAAATGACTTATGTTCACTTAATGCAGTTCAACATACATTGCAGTATTAAAAAATTGAAAAAAAAAACTCTTTTTTTATTGCATTATTAATTAAATTTGAATTTACAATGTGACGCGGAATGACTTGAACACGTCACATCAAACATGACGTGTGTTTGCAATAAATGTGACGCGTCATCGCTAGACAAGTAATGTTTTTAAAGTGTATAGTACATTTGTATTTGGTATATGCAAAATATTTTAAAGAAATGTTTAGCAATACCTTTGGTCCATAACAGCAACATAATTGAACAGGTCATTTAGACTGTTAAGAAATCATGCCTCTAAATAAGATTTGATGGTTTGCCTCCACTAACTCGTCATGCAATCTACCGGTCTTTTATTAGGAAAATGTAAAACATTATTTTAAAGACGTTTTCGGGAGCTTTCATATAGATATAAATGCAAAATTAAAATTGTCAAATAAAATTTCGATAAACTTGGCATGTTGTAAGAACATGAAAAGGGACAACATTTTAAGCAAAAACAATCAACCGATCAACCGATCAAAAAACCGATCAACTGCCCTACTGCTGCTGCTGTTGTTACTACTACTACTATTGCTACTGCTACTGCCGCTACCAATACTTCGACCACTTCTACCATCACCACTACTTCTACTATGGCTACTACTACTACTACTACTAAAACAAATACAGATACAACTGCCACTACCACTACTACTCAGACAAACACGCTGGTATAACTTTTAAACCAAACTGCATTGATAAATAGATTTCCTCCTATTTTGCATAATTTTCAATATCAACTCCTGTCATTGGTTGCGTGAAAGAATAATAATAATAATAAATACCGACTCTAAATGACAGCGGCGTTAAATAATCTGTAGATACATGTGTTTTTATAATAGAAGTGACAAATGCAGAAAACCGAGATCACGAAATAAAAAATATAGTCATTCCTCATTTACTTTTCTATTTGGCATTTATACTCAAGGTAAACGCAGGCGGTTGTAAAACGGTCGTAAAATTGTCACCAAATACATGAAACCGACATAAAAAAATGACCGGCTAAATAGTTTCCGGATATATGTACACCTTTCGCTAAATACCAGTCAATGAAGTTATTCGGCCAATCTCACTGTCTTAAAATTTTCAACATATTCGCGAACTAATTTACTAGACTAGGTCACAGGAATAAGACGCTTTGATCTTGTCCCCTACATTATCCCCCTCCCCCCCCAGTCCCTGTTACAACCCCAACAATATTATCTAGTGTCAATTTCCACATTTAGTATTCGTAACAACAATAATATGACACTATTACAAAATTTTCATTACACGTCTATAGTATTAGTTATAAGTACAAGGGTAGGAACCCATTCGCCCTTTGAGTGCTTTGATTCTACCCAAGTTCATAACTCAGCCAAATTTCGTTATATTTTTAAAAAAAAATTGGCCTCGATCAATCGAGTATAGATATATGTATGCAATGACATCTTCCATATTAAGCAGTGTTAAGAACACCAAAACAACCGGTAAAGTGAAATTTGACAAGATCTGATTCACGTAAATATCGAAATTTCCACGACTGAATCGCTTAAAAAGAAGCAATGTTGCGTAAGAAATACCATTGCATTTGTAGAAACTTAACGATCGATGTAACTCACCAACGAAATAAATAAAATTGATTCTGATTGTTAGATATATTTTTAGTCCTAATTTTACCAAAGTATACTTTTCGACAGATTTCAAATGAATACATTTGTACATTTGTAGCACATTATGCAAAGAGTACATCCTCTGCCTCCAAAGTCACGTGGTAGAACTATTTTCAATCTGTATGACATCCGAGATGATGATTTGCAATCGGCGAGGTGTTCCGAATGTTTGACAAAAAGATAACAATTAATTTATCAGAAGTCCTAAAGACTTGTTCATGCAAGCTTATAAAATTAATGAAATATTATTAAAGGCCCATTTAGCCTAAAAAATTTCAAGCTTTTTATTTACTTAAAAGTTACTCATTTGCCATATAGCTTAGCCATCTGCGCTTTTACAAATACGTGAAGCAAAGTTACAGTGATTATGTATTATGTATATATGGGAGTCAATTACCCCTTTGTGTACATCCTTTCTTAATTTATCAAAGACTACTTCACATTCAGCGCTCTTTTTTTTTTCAGATGATAAGTACATTTATCTTTTATGTATCTAACATTTACTTAATTTATTTTTACAACAATATAAACACACGTTTGCCCTTTGCGTGTGAAAGATAAATTTACCAATTTCTGAGGCTTAATGCTGAATGCCCAAGATGAGAAAAAATATTTCAAGAAAATCAAACTTGAGAAAAATGTACAAAGATTTTAAGAATAGTAAAAAGTTTAAAGACTCGAGTAATATTTTACGTGTTACGTATGATTAATTATTGCTTTTTCAGTATTTATCAACATATTACTAATGCGTGAATAAGCAGTAAGGACTTTCTTTGCATATTTTGGACCTTTTTTGGTTAATTTACGTGGATTTTAAGTATCGTTGGCATGTATTAATTACTTTCTTAGTTCACTTCACACTAATTTATTTTTTAAATACATTTTTAAAATTTTCAGAACAATTAGAATAAATCAAGAGGCATACCACTTTAAGTTGATTTTAAATTCGAACGAGACACCGATTTACTAAGGCTTAACACCACTATATTTTTACTTTTCAGATTATACCACTATGTATAGCAGCCGCACTATAGTAGCAATATTCAGCATTCTAGCAACAGTTTCAGGTAAGTGTACACCAATCGACTAACAAAACTTTTACTCATCGAACATGACAGTGTTATTCCTTTTTAGAGTGAAATAAACAATGAGTCTTTGAAACAGAAAGAAAAGTATGTTAAGACAGACAAAGCAACACTTTCCAATTGATGACTAGTTAAAAATCATCTAAGTGGAGGTGAAAGTCTGAAAAAATAAAATTAGTTTTTTTTATGATTTCCTGTATAAAATGTGTCAAAAGATAAGGAATGACAAAATGTGAAAGGTACTTTAAAGGAACTCCACTGATGTCCAAAGGTCTAAAAACATAAAAATTGATATTCTTTAAATATCAAGTGAAGCATTTAAAACGGAAAAAATGGATGACAAAGAAATATACCCAGAATTAAATTGAAAAACATTCTTTTTGTGCGATTCTTAGCCGGATCTGAGTGAAAAGCGTTGCAACGCTTTTCATTTTTGTGTCTTTTTCACAATAAAAATGATTATTATGGAACATTGGGGTGGGAGAATTAAGGGAAGATTTGCACACTAGTTATTGGACCAGAACTACAACAAGTAGTAAACATTAAACAAATCTCGAAATAAATATTTTCAAACCTCAGTGGAGTCCCTTTAAATATAAAGCATTGGGAAAGGGTTACGTTAAGAAATCGCCAACAATAAAGCATATTACACTTTGTTTGTAAAAATGCGAACAATGATAGATTACTGAGGAATTGGCATTAAAACCGCAAACTATGATACCTAATTAGCATTGTAAAAAAGATGAGAATAATGTAAAGTTTCTTAAAAATCTAGCAGTGTCAGATACGGTAAACATACGTCTATAGTGTCATCATTCTTGTGTATTATATACATGTATTCATATGCTTTTTAAGTAATTTCGTATCTCAAATTAAACATTCTCACATCACATAAACCATTATTTTGTAATTATATATATTCATGCCATGTGTCATTTATGTATTATATGTTGTATTTGTATATTTAATATGGTGATGAGCTTTTTATGCTTAAACCAAGTAATAAAGTTTCTGTTCTGTTCTGTTCTGATCATTGTAAGAAACGTTGAACCATTATAGATGTCTTAAGGATGTAATATTTGTTAACATTCTTGTGAACCATGATCCTAAAAGCTCAATGATTTTGCATTGTAATAAACTGTGAACCGTAATAGATACATTATTTATAGTGGTGGATAAAGCATTGTAACAAATTGTGAACAGTGATAGATACCAAAGATATATAACATTGTAAAAAATTGTGAACAGCGGTAAATAGTAAGATATTTAACATTGCAATAAATTGTCATTAAGATATTTAGTATTGTAATAAATTTTGAACAATCGAAGACACCAAAGATATTTAGCATTGTAATAAATTGTGAACAGCAATAGATACCTAAGACATTTAGCATTGTAAAAATTGTGAACAGTGCTAGAAAGCGTACCTTTCACAGAGTTTAAGACCTGTACAGCATGAAATGCTCTTTTTTAAAGCGACAAATGCGTTATATTTTAAACTGGAAAAAGTGATAGACGTTTGAAACGTCTAGAATACAGAATTTGCGTGTTCTTTTCATTTGAATCAATTTATTACCGAATTCTTTTCCTGACAAGCACGGTATCAATTATAAAATAGACATGTGATTCAGAAGAGATTCCTTTATCATTTTTATTTCATCTGAGCCATAGATAGTAATTGCAGGGATACATCTTTCTAACACTCTAATTCAATTCATTTTTATAGGTCAGTTTGGAGGCCCTTTAAGATTTCGAGGACCGGGGCCTCGCTTTTTTGGACCACCGACAATAATAGGCGATGGACCGGGTTTCGGAGGAATGCCATTTGGAGGGATTGAGTTTGGTCCAAGTTTTGGTCCAGGTTTTGTAGGACCAGGTGGCGGAGACTTTCCGCCTTTCGGGGGTGGGCCTATGCCTGGTGGAGGATTTGGTACAGGATTTGGTGGAGGCGGACCACCACCTACCGGAGGACCAGGGGGCGGTGGTGGGGGATTTGGGGGAGGAGGCGGGCCGGGTGGAGGAGGTGGAGGCTTTGGGGGTGGTGGCGGACCAGATGGAGGAGGAGGTGGAGGATTTGGCGGAGGAGGCGGTCCTGGTGGTGGAGGCGCTGGATTTGGGGGAGGAGGTGGACCAGGTGGAGGAGGTGGAGGCTTTGGTGGCGGCGGGCCAGTGGAGGAGGGGGAGGTTTTGGGGGTGGCGGGGGACTTGACGGAGGTGGAGGCGGGGGATTCGGTGGAGGAGGCGGTCCTGGTGGTGTAGGTGGTGGTGGATTTGGAGGAGGTGGTGGATTTGGAGGAGGAGGTGGTCCGGCTCCAGGAGGCGGAGGAGGCGGTGGATTTGGTGGTGGTGGTGGACTTACACCTAGCGGAGGTGTTGGTGGTGGATTTGGAGGAGGTGGTGGATTTGGAGGCGGAGGCGGTCCAGTTCCTGGTGGTGGAGGAGGTGGGGGATTTGGTGGTGGAGGAGGCTTTGGAGGAGGTGGAACTCCTCCAGGAGGGTCATTTGGGGGCGGAGGTTTCGGAGGCGGAGGTGGTATTACACCAGATGGGCCATTTGGGGGAGGGGGAGGAGGAGGATTTTCGGGATTTGGAGGCGGTGGAACATTTACAGGCCCTGGACCAGCTCCAGGAGGCGGAGCATTTGGTGGAGGAGGCCCAGCCTCGGGTGGCTTTGGGGGTGTAGATCCAACTGGAGGAGCTGGTAATTATCTTACATTTCTTTTTCATTACAACGGTTTACTATTCGATTATTTTGATGCATAATTGTAATGAACACTTATACTTTTTGCAATAATGATAGAAATGTATAAGCAAGTACATGAAATCATATGAAGCTATTCTCAGATAATGAATATCCATGCCACAAGAAATAAAAAACACGTTTGAATATGTTTGCTACAAAAGTCCTCTTTAAAAAAATAAAGAAAAAGGTTTCGTTAGGAGCATCGCTACAAACATCATTCGAGACAACTGAAAAACAAAATGAAGATTGTTTAAAATCGAATAACGAAACCACGATAGTAAAAACTCGATAGAGTTTCATGTCTTAACCATCGTACACCATTAAGGTTTAAAGATTTTTCACAATCGTTATTTCGTGTTTTCGTTGATTCGAGTTATGCGTGTATCGCAATTACCATAACGGGACACCGTATTATATTTTAGTTATTTATGTTTTTCATTAAAAGGTGGGGTACCGGTTGGAGGTGCATTCGGACGGACTGATGGTGGTTCAGGGGCTATTGGCGGTGTGTTTGGACGTACTGAAGGTGGCCGAGTCGGTCCCGGGGGTAGTATGAGGTTCGAGGACCCTGTGACAGGAATGCAGGTGGTACCATCAGATGTTGCGTCGGCAGTACGACAGGCTCGGACCGGGGGTCGTTTTGGAGTACGTGTGTCCCCATGACTTATTTTGACAAAATCTGAAGAATAAAATTATTTAATTGCTATAATGAAAATTCTGGCATGTTTAACAAAAGTAGTCAAAAAATATTCACATTTTAACTAAAATTTGAGCATTCTTTTATTGTGGAACACCTTTGTCATTAAAACTTAATGTAATTGGCGAATATGCAAATGAAGGTCATAAAAGTTAATAGACTGTCGACATCGTAAGAAAGGTATGGACAGCATGTATTCTTCTGATCCAAGGTTCAAGACTTCGAATGCTGCTCGATGCAAAGTTAGATATAGAACAAGATACCTTGTTATACGTTCATTATAACACTGCACGTTTATCACGTCACGCTCATCCGATAATTGTTACGTTTATATAAATCATTTATAATTTTATTAAGTAATTTCAGTTTTCTTTATCTCAAATGAAGGAAGTTTTCTATATAAAGAATTTGTAATGAATATTCTTGGTAGGTTATATGACCGTATATAAACGGTTATTTTCAATATAACCCTTGGTATGACATGATCTGGTCCATTGACGTCACAATCGTCGCCATTGTCGCCTTTAATTTAATTACAACATAAAGTGTGACGTCATATATCTGCCTTTGAGCGTATTTTGAATAAAATCTTTTGATTAAACAGCAACTCAAATTAATTCATATACTCATGTATTTGCTTAATCATATTTTTAGAAAAAATTATTTTACGTCCTTGAATTTTTTTTCAGCAAGGTCAAAGTTTTCCATCAGGAGGGGGTCAAGGTCAGTGCAAATTTAAAACGCTGTCGATTTATTTCAATCCTGTTTTTTTGTGAATTTTAAAAGACGCTATCAATTAATATATCTCGTATCTTTTTAATTTAAAGAAATACTTAAAATTAAGAAAGTTGATGGCTCTCTCTTTTCATCGATGTACATTTTCGTAAGATCAAAGTAACGTTTATTAAACTACGTACTGCAGTATATATTTCTCCAAAAGCTCTTGGGATTAATTTCATCTTTTTATTTATACAGCATAAAAGAATAATGTAAAAACTGAGTAGGTAGAATTGTCTGAAAAAAAGTTTCCTTTTCTTTTGTCTTTGATTTAAAATGGTATTTGTTCTATTATTAGTATTTTGTTAAATATCAAGTTTTTTTAATTTAAAGTGGTATTTGTTCTATTATTTTGTTAAATATCAAGTTTGTCTTTAATTTAAAGTCGTATTCGTTATAAATATCAAGTTTGTCTTTGATCTAAAGAGGTATTTTTCTATGATTTAGTTAAATATCAAGTTTGTCTTTGATCTGAAGTGGTATTCGTTCTATTATTTTGTTAAATATCAAGTTTGTCTTTGATCTGAAGTGGTATTCGTCCTATGATTTTGTTAAATATCAAGTTTGTCTTTGATCTGAAGTGGTATTCATTCTATGATTTTGTTAAATATCAAGTTTGTCTTTGATCTGAAGTGGTATTCATTCTATGATTTTGTTAAATATCAAGTTTGTCTTTGATCTGAAGTGGTATTTGTCCTTTATTTTGTTAAATATCAAGTTTGTCTTTGATCTAAAGAGGTATTTTTCTATGATTTTGTTAAATATCAAGTTTGTCTTTGATCTAAAGTGGTATTCGTTCTATTATTTTGTTAAATATCAAGTTTGTCTTTGATCTGAAGTGGTATTCGTCCTATTATTTTGTTAAATTTCAAGTTTGTCTTTGATCTAAAGAGGTATTTTTCTATGATTTTGTTAAATATCAAGTTTGTCTTTGATCTAAAGTGGTATTCGTTCTATTATTTTGTTAAATATCAAGTTTGTCTTTGATCTGAAGTGGTTTTCGTCCTATTATTTTGTTAAATATCAAGTTTGTCTTTGATCTAAAGAGGTATTTTTCTATGATTTTGTTAAATATCAAGTTTGTCTTTGATCTAAAGTGGTATTCGTTCTATTATTTTGTTAAATATCAAGTTTGTCTTTGATCTGAAGTGGTATTCGTCCTATTATTTTGTTAAATTTCAATGTTGTCTTTGATCTAAAGAGGTATTTTTCTATGATTTTGTTAAATATCAAGTTTGTCTTTGATCTAAAGTGGTATTAGTTCTATTATTTTGTTAAATATCAAGTTTGTCTTTGATCTGAAGTGGTTTTCGTCCTATTATTTTGTTAAATATCAAGTTTGTCTTTGATCTAAAGAGGTATTTTTCTATGATTTTGTTAAATATCAAGTTTGTCTTTGATCTAAAGTGGTATTCGTTCTATTATTTTGTGAAATATCAAGTTTGTCTTTGATCTAAAGAGGTATTTTTCTATGATTTTGTTAAATATCAAGTTTGTCTTTGATCTAAAGTGGTATTCGTTCTATTATTTTGTTAAATATCAAGTTTGTCTTTGATCTAAAGTGGTATTCGTTCTATGATTTTGTTAAAATATCAAGTTTGTCTTTGATCTAAAGTGGTATTCGTTCTATGATTTTGTTAAATATAAAGTTTTTCTTTGATCTAAAGAGGTATTCGTTCTATGATTTTGTTAAATATCAAGTTTGTCTTTGATCTAAATTGGTATTCGTTCTATGATTTTGTTAAATATCAAGTTTGTCATTGATCTAAAGTGGTATTCGTTCTATTATTTTGTTAAATATTAAGTCTGTCTTCGATCTTAAGTGGTATACGTTCTATTCTTTTGTTAAATATCAAGTCTGTTTTTGATCTTTAGTGGTGTTCGTTCTATGATTTTGCTTAAAAGTAATTATAGTGTTGGTGTAGTGTAATAGTTTTAAACGATTTAAGAAGCTCAAAATGAGCTACACTGGAGCGACTGTACATAGTTGTTAATGACGTCCTACTTAATCGTCCAATGAGAAGATTATTAAATTTTCACTTTTAAGTCGTTGACCTTCTTTTCGGACGAATACTTAAATGAAATCAGTGCATGTTTAGATGAATCGTTAAATGAACGCTATTGTCATACTTTATTCATGTAGCGTTTAATTTACAGTTTTCCGTCAAACTGAATTTCAATCAACTGTATCAAATGGATTCCTCCCCGGTGGTGATAGTAGTGCCGGAGCATTTGGGCAACAGCGATCAGGATTTGGTTCATCAACGACTCGAGGAGCCCAAGGTGGTCTCAACAATGCAATACGAAGTAAGTTTTCTCCATTGCACACCATGTTTATCCACATAAAGTCAAAATGTTCCCTGCATCTATCTCTAAGGATTAAGGACCGGTCATGAACCGATAGATACATGTATATATGTACAGTCGAGTCTGTACAAAACGGTCACCGTTTTTCAGCGGTCACGTGACCTTCACGACAATTTTGTGACGCCCCCCCCCCCTTCGACGAAAAGTCACACTATCTTATATAATTTTATGATATATTTGGATAACATACTTGATCCTCAATTCAGCAGTCACCTAACTTAACTAGCCAAACGACTACATTCCTTGACTGGCTGTTTAAGACAGTTTTGACTGTATCTATTTTTATTTCACACATTATAAAATATAAAAAGCACTTCCAGCGTTTGCACCATTAGATGTTCCACTAGAAATTATTATTTGAGCCGCGTCACGACAAAACCAACATAATGGGTTTGCGACCAGCATGGATCCAGACCAGCCTGCGCATCCGTGCAGTCTGATCAGGATCCATGCTGTTCGCTAACAGTTTCTCTACTTGTAATAGAGTTGGTATGCGAACAGAAAAGATCCTGATCAGACTGCGCGGATGCGCAGGCTGGTCTGGATCCATGCTGGTCGCAAACCCATTATGTTGGTTTTGTCGTGACGCGGCTCATTTGATCAATTTAGTCTCGTTTTCATTTCCAGATTCCAAAGCCTTATCACATTCTATACAGCTTGCTTTTCTTTTCTCCAGCGTCCAAAAGGTTTATTACACCCATATAACTTCGTTTTCATTCTTATAGTCCAAAATATCTTTATCAAATGCATATCGCACTTCATCTAGCCTCGTTTTCATTTTGAGACACCAAAAATCCAAAGCAAATTCTTATTATAATTGAGGTAACTGTGCATATGTAAAAAATGGTGGTGTGAAATAAAGAGGTCAACATGGTTGAGAATAATAATGATTATATTAGACTCCATACAAAGTACATGTTTGTCTGTTTGTTTTGTTTGTTTTGGGTTTTACGTCACATAGACACAGAATAGGTCATATCGCGACATTTCAGCTTTTATACTGTTGGAGGAAGTCCACAGGTGCCCTTCCGTGCATTATTTCAGGCACGAACTGGCACCTGACCAACGACGTTCCGTAAGCTAGCTGGATAGCTTCCTCACATAAAATAATCCAAAGTCCCTGTCGGGATTCGAACCCACAGCGGTGAGGAGCAAGTGATTTGAAGTCAACGACCTTAACCATTCGGCCACGGACGCTCTACAAAGTACATTGTAGTAGATATGAACATAATCCAGCTTCATGCAAATGTGATAAGAAGTATTGATAAAGCTATATGTATATTAATCCAGAAAAAAAACAAGAACAATATTTAATCCCCGATATGCTATGCAACTAATCAAACTAATTAAATTATCAATAAAAGAAGCTTTTGTTAAAACACCGCTACGACCGCATTTTTGTTTGTTTGTCTTTCAATCACAATAAAAGTTTACGAACCATTAATACTTTATCAGAGAAAATATTCCATCAATAAATTACTTGAATAATTCAGCAAGGGGCAGGACGTGAAGTGGTTGCACACTTGGTTCAAGCGAGCGAATTGGTTGCAAACTTGACAAAATGGCGAAAACGGCGTGATTTTTTGAAACGGGTGAACGAGTTTTTGCCAGGCAAGTGGGTTTCTTTGTTATTTTGAAGTTCATTAGTATGTCTATTCCATAATGCAATATATATGCCACACTCGGTTAAAGGTTTCAGCATCCTAGATTCTGTTTTGACGAAGTTATTGAAGATATAAACTGATCATGTAGATTTTTTAAATTTGACAAATGACTGTTCTGGCCGGTTATTCTCCTAATTTATTCAAATTTGGAAGTTTTAAACTGCATTTAACAATAACAAAATATGTTTCTGTCAATGCTGTACAAATGGTTTAGTTCGCAAGTCCGAAGATAACGTTCAATACACAAAAATATCTTGTTCAAGCACATTTTGGTTGCAGACTTATACTTCAAGCATTTTTGGTTGCAAACTTTTGTGTCAATAATGAGGCATGCATATTTTTAGCGAGGAATTAAATTAATTTTTCAAATAATTTATTATGTGTTTATATCTTGTGCATCATTTTTAACACAGGGTCTCCTCAATGTATGCTAAATATACTCCTTATACTCTTTTCTTTTTACAAAGTCTTAGGACTTTTTTTATATCTTTGCATGACTAACTGTAAAGGAAAAGAAGAAAAAAAATAGCAACAAACAGCTTTCATTATTGTTCTTTTTTGAGATTTGAAATAAATTTGATTATATAGTAGATAAAAACTATATGAACATTGACACAAGGTCATTATTCACATGTTTCTTTAAATTGTTCCTTATTATTGACCAATCGAAAAAAGTTCCAAATTCCCTAACTCGAACAATGACTTTAAGTAGTTTTGTCACATAACAGTTAATGTAAATAACCAATCGTATATCATTTATATTATGATCTAATAATCAAAATCATCTTTAGAATACCAATGGACATATGATGTACATCAAATCCGAAATATTGTAAACAAGCATGTACGTCATTTTAACTTTTGGTTTGTAAAAACATTTTAAGTACATGTCTAAAGCAACTGCTGATCTTTACATACGAAACAAACAAATTAAAATTTCTTGTGGTTTTGATAAACTTTGGAAATTTTGCCGAATAACATCGTATGTGTGCACATGTCCTTATGTTTATGATGAAAATAATTCACTTAAATACAACAGTACTCTCACATGTATACGTTTGTTTTGTATGTAGTTTTCATTTGCATTTTACATATGATGACATATTTTAGAATTGAAGTATCAATAAATATTTTTCTATATGCTATTATTTTGTTTGCAGGCTTTTACTGATGATTATAGTATTGAACTGAGAACCATGTAATTTGAAACATAAAGTGCATAATTGTTGTAAAAGAAGAAAGTATATATAGCATTTAGAACAAAAAGAAGTAACAGAACATAAATGTCAATAATTGCCATTGAAAATAGGTTAATATATATAACCTTCAACAATCCTTTTGCTAAGTTTTACTATGGATTTCAATAGAATAAGAATAAGTTTGCAACCAAAAATGCTTGAAGTATAAGTCTGCAACCAAAATGTGCTTGAACAAGATATTTTTGTGTATTGAACGTTATATTCGGACTTGCGAACTAAACCGTTTGTACAGCATTGACAGAAACATATTTTGTTATTGTTAAATGCAGTTTAAAACTTCGAAATTTGAATAAATTAGGAGAAAAACCGGCCAGAACAGTCATATGTCAAATTTCAAAATATCTACATGATCAGTTTATATCTTCAATAACTTCGTCAAAACAGAATCTAGGATGCTGAAACCTTTAACCGAGTGTGGCATATATATTGCATTATGGAATAGACATACTAATGAACTTCAAAATAACAAAGAAACCCACTTGCCTGGCAAAAATTCGTTCATCCGTTTCAAAAAATCACGCCGTTTTCGCCATTTTGTCAAGTTTGCAACCAATTCGCTCGCTTGAACCAAGTGTGCAACCACTTCACGTCCTGCCCCTTGATTCAGGATAACTTTTTCCGAATTAAATGTAAAAACAAAGCGTTTGTTGACATGATTTTGAATTGATCATTGTTGTATAGACGCTCACTTGATCTTTCTAAGACACGGAAAGTGACGAAATATGCCAAACATTCTCGACCATATAATAGCAAATTTACCATATTACTTTAAAAGTAAAAAGTGCTGAATCATTGTGGTGTATTAAATTAAATATTAAAATCAAACATTTATAACTTTGAGAAAGTTTGGTCGTGTTGGGACTTTTGATTATAAACATGCACATTGCTTATATTGCCTACTAACTATCAAGCTTCCTGCCATTATTGTACTGTAGTTCGAATCCCGGTGGACGGTGGACAGCCGGTAGTGACTAGAAATGGAGTAACACAGCAACTACCAAGCGGTATGTCACTAAGGGACCTCGGCATTAACATTGATCCATTTTCCATGCAATCATCACGTGGTTCGGGTACAGGTGGTGAAATGACAGGTTTTAGAAACGGTATTGTCTCAGTACTAATATATTAAGCGTCAACAAATTCTTTTGTTTAATATATGAATATATGAAAACATATCTTACCGTTTGGCATATTTTCACACATGGCACAATTTTGCCACCATAGTTTTTTATTTTTATTATTATTATTTTTTTTTTTTTGAATTTTTTGAGTTAAATTTTCTTTTGCTGTTAAAAACAGCCTCGATAGCAAATATATAAAATTAATTCTTAACAACAAAATAATCTGCCATATTTGAAACGAAAAATATTTTACCGCTTGCCACTTTGGAAATTCATTGAGTTAATTATTCTTTTCCTAAAAGAAAACATCATCGACAGCCAGTTAGATTAATTCTTTCACATCAAGCTGCCATATTTGAAAAATAAAATGTCAAATATTTTTAAAGACAGACTATAACAGCAAAAGTCATGTATAAGAATTTGTTGACGCCGGTTTTTTTGAGGAACCTGCATGCATAGAAGATTTCATTCATTATTAATTTGTCATTTAATTCGCATAATTGCCATTATCGACACATTGGCTTAATTAACACAAGCTGCTCGTACACTTAGATCAACTGCATCATCTGAAAAAATTATTGACGAGTTCTTATATGACACCATTATGCATTTATCTATATATTTTTTAACATTATCCATTTTTCATACAAAAAGGTATTTGTACAATGCGCATTTGACTTTACCGGAGATGAATAACGAAAAGTTATGACAGTTTTTCGTGTTTTGTTCAGTTTTTCGCATAGTCGCTCTTGCACATTAATAATGTAAATCACTCTTGAAAGAGTTTACAATATAACCTTTACAGGTGGTTCTTTTATTAAAATTTTATAACTAATATTGGAAATAACCGGAATTACTTTATACAAACATGCTTGTAAAACCCAAAATTATTGATATTGGAGAGGGAGCGGTAAATTGGATTGGGGTTGGCCCGGTTGGGTACATATTGTTATTGCGCTTGCCAATCTGTCTTTTTGTCGGTCTGCTTATAACAATATCTTTAAGATTTGGACTTTTAAGTATTGGGTTACAATTATCATAAATGCCCTCAGTGGGAAAGTGTTCCATTCTCACGTATAAAGGGCGAAGTTTAAGATGGCTGCCTCGAAAAGGTTCTACCCTGTGTCAAAAGATAATCTTCTCATCAATACAAAATTCAAACTCATCTTCAAAATTTTAATCACTGTTAAAACGCAGCATGTATTGATAGGAACACGGTTAATATCCAGGTGTCATCGTTCTCATTTCTTTATAGGCATCCGGAACTTTTCGGCCAATTTCTTGTTAATCTTCTGTTAATAATAGACGAGTAGCTCCGACTACCCTAGTGATTTAGACCATTTTGTAAATAACGGCCATTTTGAAAATAGCCACCATTTTGAAATTTCTAGATCAAATGTTTAGCTTTTTTGCTACAGCTGTGCAAACTATTAAAAATATAAGCGCATATTTTTGCCAAAGACGAAGCAATTTGTTGCGTTTTAATATACATGTATACATGTATTTAATAAATCGAAACAATACATGCACTTAAAATAAGCTGCAATAACAGTTAAACTATCTTTGGAGGTATGTTTTTATTTTCAGCTTCTATTGTTATTTTACTGCTTGTTTGTAGTTTTTAAACGATATGCTGGTATGAATAGACATGCCACATCTTAAACTTACTGAAAACATTTTTATTTCAGGGCAGAGTAACATATTACCGCCGCCTACGACTCAAGGTTTTAATAGCGTCACGTCACAGACTTCACAAGTAACTGGTACGTTTGTCTAACTTATACCCCGGTCACATATTCACGGAATACGCCCACGGAAGAGCCACGGATTAATTCCGGCATCGTCCGTAGCTACCCGTACTGGTCAGTAGCTCTCCGTATTGTAACCGTAATCAATCGTAGTAGTCCTTGTATATCGTTAGCGATCCTTGACAATTTTTGAACATGCACAAAAATTTGCTACGGAAAAATCAACCGTAGCGTATCCTACTAGTCCGTATTAATCCGTACTGATACGTACTGGTCCGTACGAAAACCGTACTAGTCCGTACTGATTCGTAGTCCACAAACTTGTCAAGGATTTCCACGGTTTTGTACGGAGAACTACGTATTTGTACGGTTACCCTACGTATAAGCTACGGTTTTAATACGGATTATACGGCATTTTCACGGAAAGCCACGGATCGTAATACGTTGTACTACGGGAGAGGCAAGGATTAGCACGGTCTTATACGGTTTATTGCGTTGCAACACGAAACGGTACGGAATGGTACGGTCCACCACTGTTTTAGTACGAATGAATTAAGTATCCATGTACTTTTTTCAAGGGTATATGGTGGCATATTTCTGCCATCAGATAACCTGATAACTAACTAGTTAATTAAGAGGTTAACTAGTTTACGTAACTAGTTAACCTGAAAACTAACTAGTTAATTAAGAGGTTAACTAGTTATGTAACTAGTTAACCTGATATCTAACTAGTTAATGAAGATGTTTACTAGATACGTAACTAATTAAACATGATAAATAACTGAGTTAATTAAGAGATTAACTAGTTAACGTAACTAGTTAACCTGATAACTAACTAGTTAATTAAGAGGTTAACTAGTTATGTTTATTAACTAGTTAATTAAGAGATTAACTAGTTACGTAAACTAGTTAACCTGATAACTAACTAGTTTATTAAGAGGGTTAACTAGTTAGTAACTAGTTAACCTCTTAATTAACTAGTTAGTTATATGGTTAATCTGCGCTGGCAGAAATATGCCACCATAAGGGTAATAAATTACTACCCTCTTGTTAAAAACAGACATATTTGCGGAAACATTTAAAAATGATAATTGCCATTTACTGGCTGCAACTTTATATTGAAAATGGCTCAGATGCGGAGGCAGTGGTCGAGCTGCTTGATGACATACATAGAAGTAAATTTATATTATTATGGTCGTACTACAATTTCCATAAGTAATAGAAATTACATTAATGTTACATATTTTACAAAATTGGATCGTGAAATTGGAGTAAATATGTACATAAAACGAGGTGTCTCATAAGCCTCGGAGGCTGGCCCCTTGAGTGATAATAGATTAATTAAAAAGCTTTTTACATATTTTTAAAAAATAAAACATCACGATAATTAATGTATTGTTAAAATGACACACAGCAAATCTTAAAATTTAAAGAGAAGCAGTTTTGATCAACATTTTTCATTAATGATTACTAGTCCATATCTAATCAGGTAAGAGAAGACAGACGAGGATGGTGGACTAGAGATGGGCTTTTACGAAGACCGCTCAAGTTTAGTAATGAGGCTCTCATGGTCGAACTTGTTTGAGGACCAGCGTCCTTTAAGAAATTCACTTTAAATCGGCCTGATGTGTCTCAGGGGTTGGGACGCGATTCAGGCCGAGTCCTCTCCGCCAAAATCATTGAACTCTGCAATTCGTTTTCTATTGTTCTTTTCTTTTGAGGCATTTTTAAAAAATTACAAGCAAGAGTTTGTGGAACGGATGTATTAGGTCCGTATAGATCCGTGGCAATTCTTTCTTCTCCGTATCAATAGTTCTTCTCCGTATCAGACCGGCTTATTCGTATAACCCGTGCTTATACCGTAGAGACCGTAGTGTATTCCGTAGGGTCCGTCCTGATTCGTGTCGCTCCGTATCAAACCGTGTCGGTCGTAACAATCTGTGTCCGCCGGGGGTTTTTGGTGGTAAATCCGTCGGACTCCGTGCTCATACCGTTGTGTGTCCGTACTTGAACCGTAGCGGACTACGAAATTTCACATTTCCGTAGTAATCCGTGAACGATTAGACCGTAGCTCTTCCGTGGCATTATCCGTGAATATGTGACCGGGGCATTACATAGTGAGGTAGATATCATGTCGAGTGTGTGTACATTTGTGTTAGTAAGTAATTGAGGTAGATATTATGTAGTGTGTGTGTACGTTTGTGTTAGTAAGTAATTGAGGTAGATATCATGTCGAGTGTATGTACGTTTGTGTTAGTAAGTAATTGAGGTAGATATCATGTCGAGTGTAGGTACGTTTGTGTTAGTAACTACTTGAAGTAGATATCATGTCGAGTGTATGTACGTTTGTGTTAGTAACTAATTGAGGTAGATATCATGTCGAGTGTAGGTACGTTTGTGTTAGTATCTAATTGAGGTAGATATCATGTCGAGTGTATGTACGTTTGTGTTAGTAACTAATTGAGGTAGATATCATGTCGAGTGTATGTACGTTTGTGTTGGTAACTAATTGAGGTAGATATCATGTCGAGTGTAGGTACGTTTGTGTTAGTAACTAATTGAGGCAGATATCATGTCGAGTGTATGTACGTTTGTGTAAGTAACTAATTGAGGTAGATATCATGTAGTGTGTAGGTACGTTTGTCTAACCTACTTATTGAGGTAGATATCATGTAGTGTGTAGGTACGTTTGTCTAACCTACTTATTGAGGTAAATATCATGAAGTGTGTAGGTACGTTTGTCTAACCTACTTAATGAGGTAGATATCATGTAGTGTGTAGGTACGTTTGTCAAACCTACTTATTGAGGTAAATATCATGAAGTGTGTAGGTACGTTTGTCTAACCTACTTAATGAGGTAGATATCATGTAGTGTGTAGGTACGTTTGTCTAACCTACTTATTGAGGTAAATATCATAAAGTGTGTAGGTAGGTTTGTCTAACCTACTTATTGAGGTAGTTATCATGTTGTGTGTAGGTACGTTAGGTCTAACCTACTTATTGAGGTAGATATCATGTCGAGTGAAGGTACGTTTGTCTAACCTACTTATTGAGGTAGTTATCATGTTGTGTGTAGGTACGTTAGGTCTAACCTACTTATATAGAGGTAGATATCATGTCGAGTGTAGGTAAGTTTGTCTAAGTAACTTAGTTAGGTAGATATCATGCCGAGTGTATGTACGTTTGTCTAAGTACCGTAACTTAGGGAGGTAGATATCATGTCGAGTGTAGGAACGTTTGTCTAACCTACTTAGTGAGGTAGATATCATGTCGAGTGTATGTACGTTTGTCTAAGTAACTTAGGTAGGTAGATATCATGTGGAGTGTATTTAAGTTTGTCTATGTAACTTAGGGAGGTAGATATCATGTCAACTGTAGGTACGTTTGTCTAAGTAAATTAGTTAGGTAGATATTATGTCATATGTAGGTGCGTTTGTCTTAGTTACTTGGTGAGGTAGATTTCATGACGTGTGTAGGTACGTTTGTCTAACCTACTTAGTGAGGCAGATATCGTGTCGAGTGTTGGGACTATATTTACATGTTGGTTCCAACTAATTCATAGAGGACTCAAGCAAGAAACTTTTTCAGGCTAATTTCAAATTGAGGTCTTAATGTACATATTTTGAAATGGCTGAGTAGAAAATATGCCAAATAGTCTGTCTTAATAAATATAAAACCCAGTGAAGATACAGGTATATCTAGCTGATTCAAGACTTGTTGCGCCATTTTTTTAAAAATTGATCTATTTAGATGTATTTATCTTTTTTATGCAAATCAATTTACAAAATGAGTTTTAATAAACATTCTTGATTTCCTTTATACAGTAGGACAAACCATTTGAACTGTATATTTTCTCATTCAGTAAATCAAGGGCGTGGTTCAGGTAACACGGGGACAAACGGGGGACCAGATCTGGTAGTTCTACACATGGAAGATCTTCAAGACCCGTCAAATTTACCTGCAATTATAAAAACACTTACAAATATTTCTGGTGCACGACAAGACAATTTGAGCAGGTAAATATTTTGTGTTCTGATAAAAGTTTTATGATGCATATGTTTTCAATAATGTTTTGTCATAATGTGTGTGTGTTTTTTTGTTTTGTTTTGTTTTGTTTGTTTGTTTATTTATTTATTTGTCTGGTTTTTGTTTCTGTTGTTGTTGTTTTGTTGTATATATGATAATTGTTTGTATGTTGTTAAAATCACGCTTAAAGAAATCTACTATAAAAAGAAATGTAAATTTTCGATTAAAATGGGTGATTGTTACGCGAAATTCTCGCTAAACTTTCTTCTCATAACAGCAGCAGGATATTTATAGGGAATGTTTTATTCTGTATTTGAAAATGATTGCACAGTTGTTGTTGTTTTTTGTTGTGTTTTACATTTCTGTACTTGGCTTTGCCTGGTACAAACTCACATCTAAAAAAAACACAAGTCCATAAATGCATACTTGTATCTTTTTATTTCAGTTCAACCGGAAGGGGAATATAATTGTACGAGGGAGGACAGCGCACGTGGTGACAATTACGTCAAAGACATCGCAAAAAATGACTATGTTTTCTTCTGCAGAAATATCAAAGCACCAGGAAAGCACGCACTGTTGTTCAAAATAATTATGATTGTTTTGTATGTTCTAATTTGTCACGTGGAAAAGTTTACTATTTTATTTGTTTTTGTTTTTTTAAAGTCTTCAAAATGCCCAAGGGAGTAAATACATATTAGATAGGTAAATATTTAATGCCAACCCCAATTGTTGCTGGCCTATAAATAGATACAGCAGAACAAATGAATTTTATTAAGTATGCATTTTTGTTGTTGAGAGAACTATGGTTTATACAAATTAAACAAAATGTTGTTACGTGGAGATCAAAGACCGTGAAGTTTCGGTACAGTGCACACATACATTGAAGTAAGAATTAATATTATAGACTTTTCGTTTTCGTGCAATGGTAACAAGAAACCGAGGAAGCTGTACCAAAAGAAGTCAGTCAAATGCTTAAAGTTTGAGCTTCATTTGATAAAAAGAAAAAAAACACCAATCACTTTAAGAAAGAATTAATTTGATGATAATATTTCTAGATTTGTAGGGAGGGCTAATATATATACATATTTTTCTCATGTGTGCATTTACAACAGATTAATCACGTGGTTGGAAACTGAGTGTTTTTCGTTTCATGAATGAGTGGTATATTTAATTTGTTATATAATATCACCATAGTAATATATTATTACTTACACCCTCTTACGTACTTTGTATACATTTATGATATAACACATTTAATATTGAATAAATTCATAGAAAAATCTGTAACTCAGTGTTGTTTTTAATTTATACACTGTATATTCCCAGCTGATCTTTACCGGTCAAAAATTATCTGAAATGATTTGTCATACAATAGTGTTTATTTGAAACTATTTAAGACATTGTTATAAAGCGTGCAGTGTAACAAATTATATGAAAAATATCCCTATCGCCAATAAAATCTTAGGGTTCTTTTCAAAATTGTGAAGTGATGGAGTTCTTGGAAGTGTAGTAAAAGTCATCAAGTTCAAACCACTCATCGGTGTGGATTCGAATCTTGTCGATCGTCATTAAAATAATACAGAGAAGGGCATCTCATGCATTTCTACAACAGTAAAGATGGGAAATTGCTGTATGATTTAAGATTCGGTGCGACATCGACAAAAAAAAACAACAACAAAAACAACAACCAAGAAACAACAACAACCAAAAACAACAATAAAATAATAACCCAAAATTGCCAATTCTTCTGTTAAATAACTGTGATAACTGTAACTAAAAATTTAAAAGCTACCTGCTGTTTTCGGACGCGTATTCATAAACAACGTACCTATGAATTGATCACCTACAGTTGGGTTATATAAATATTCAATTTTACTTCGAAAAAGAATTTTTTCATATGCGGAAAGTCCGATTTTTTTAAAGCGTCTACACAATTAAGACTGTTGCTTAAATTATCGTAAATTACACTTCCGGTAGAAGTATGATGTACAAAATAAGTTAATAAATATTATAATCAATAATAAGAACTAAAGTGACAATGATTAACATAAAAAGTTAAATTTTTAATAACCATTTTGATAAATCAATACGTTTGAATAAGGTAAAAACAAAAGTTATAATATTTAGAGATTAACAAAAATGTTGGACGAGATATTCGAAAAACACTTTAATGATAGGGGAACTGATTTCAGTCTTTCCATTTGTTTACCTTTAGAAACTAGAAAACCATGTTTATTTTTCTTTCTTTTTTCATTTAAGATGATTGGAATAGGGCAGTGCAGACATTGTTCTTGCTTCAAAAACTTTAATAGACGCCTTTTATATAGTAAAGCAAGGCCAACGTGTTCTTCTTCTTTTGGTTAAATTTCTATTGCCTTATCAACCATTTTTATGCTTAAATTTACGGTTTTATTGTTGATCCTTTGCTTATTAATAGGGATATATTTAATAAATGTCTTAGGTATTATAAAAAACGTGTGTAAGGTCAGTATGTTCGTAGTGTCCTCTATCTGTCAGATCAGTGTGTGATAAGTGTTCTCTGTGAGTCAGGTCAGTGTGTGATTAGTGTCCTGTGAGTGTTTTCGTTGTATTGGGTCAATTTGTGATGTGTGTAGTGTCCTGTGTGTCAGGTCAATGTGTGAGAAATGTCAGAACAGTGAATTGTGTCCTGTGTGTGTCAGTTGTTGTTGTTGTGTCCTGTAGTCCTTTGAGTCAGGTCAGTGTGTGAGTAGTGTCCTGTGTGTGAGTGATGTCCTGTTTAAGTAGTGTGCTGCTGTTTAGTGTCTGTGTGAGTCAGGTCAGTGTGTCTGAGTAGTTCGCTGTGTGTGTGTGTCAGGTCAATCTTTTTGTTGTGTGCTGTCAGTGTGTGAGTCGTGTGCGGTGAAGCTGTGAAGTTTCCTGTGTAGTGTCCTGTCAGTATGTGAGCAGTGTGCTGTGTAAGTCATGCTAATGTGCGACTAGTGTGCTGTGTGTGTCCGGTCAGTGTCTGAGAAGTGTGCTGTGTGTGTCCGGTCAGTGTCTGAGTAGTGTGCTTTTTTTGGCCATTCAGTGTCTAGTAGTTGTCCTGTGTGGTTTAGTCCGGTTAGTTGTTTGGGGTTGCCCGGTCGGTGTTGAGTGTGGCTGTGTGGTCGGTCAGTGTCTGATAGTGTGTTTTGTGTGAGGTCAGGTCAAGAGTTTTTGTGTGGGGTCCGGTCTGGTTTGTCTGAGGTTAGTTGGGGCTGTGTTTGTAGTCGGGTCAGTAGGGGTTCTGTGTTTGTCCGGTCGGTATTGAGTGTTGTTGTTGGCCCGGCCAGTTTGTTAGTTGTTTGTGTGGTCGGTCGGTTTGAGTCTGTGTGTGTGGGTCGGTAAAGGTGTCTGAGTGGGTGGTTGCTGTTTTGTTTTCCGGTCAGTGGATCTGAGAAGTTTTTAGTGTGTGTTTGTGGTGTCGAGTTAGTCCTGTGTTTGTGGTCAGTGTCGTATAGTGTGTTTTGTGTGTCCGGCCGATGTTGATTTGTGTGGCAGGTGTTTTTGTCCTGTGCTGTTGAGTCGGTCGTTTGTTTTGTGTTTGTTCGGTCAGTTGTTCTGGGAGTCGGTGTGTTGTGTTTTTTTGGGTCAGGTCAGTAGGTTGTGCTTGTGTGTGTTCGGTGTTGAGAAATGTCTGTGTTGTCAAGTAATTGAAGTAGTGTCCTATTACAAGAGTCTTGAAAGATTGTCAGTAATTTTAGTGGAGTAGCGGGGGATCGAACTCGCAACCCCTGGACTTGTAGTCAGACAGTGTTACCACTGCACCACAGCGCCCGCTCTGATTTTTAACAATTTTGGAAGTCCCTTTATACATTATCACATTAATGGCCAGGAAATTGAGTAATTATGCTATTGAATTTTCACACCTCAATAGTTGATATAGCGGTAAGGTCTAAAGTGTTTTGCAACGGCTGATATTCAAATCCTTGCCCGGGGGGTTATGATAAAGAACTTTATACAAACGAGTAGTAACAAAAAATAAGTAAGACTGTTGACAAGCAATAAAAATGAATCATATTAGATAAAAGCCATGTTCCGTTAAATAGAACCGAAATTCTTATATTGACAGTAAGTAAGCTGAAACAATTACTTGCATGGTTGTTAATGATACATGATGGTTTGAGACAAATCTATTAAATCAAGTTACACTTGTTAAAAATATTCGGTTTGCGTTAATAAGGTGACAAGAATTTGTTAAAGCATCATACATCCAGACTCATGCTAATTTTCATAAAAGTTTTGAAAATTATATGTAAATTAAAGGTAAAATATCTACCATAAGACTTCGTTGGTTATTCGCGCGAATACCAAACTACCAACCAGCAGGTATGTATAGTTAGTAATTCGAACATTGCTGAGTTTACCCTCAAAACAGAATTTTCTCCGGAATAAATATAACGGACATAAAGCAAGATAGATGTGTTCTACAACATTGAAATACCACGTAACCCTATGTCCACCAGGGAATTCGGTTGGTTATTCGCGAGAATACCAAACTTCCTTCTTCAAGGTAGTTGGTAATTCGGATATTGCATAGATTTCTCTGAAAACAGAACATATTTTTCTGAAACAAATATTACGGTTAAATAACAAGATATGTGTTTTCTATAATATGGTAACACCCCCATTCACCGTAAATTGGCCAGGGGACTCAGCTGGTTATTCTCGTGAATCTCCAACTACCAATCAGAACGTAGATGGTTGTCCGAACATTACATGTATTTCAAACAATATACATTGACAATACAGATGAATTCTACCAAACTGTATCACCCGTCTCATTACGTCGACCAGAGGACACAGTTGGTTATTCGCGCGAATCAACTACATACTGAAGTTAGTTGTAAATTCGAACATCTGATTCTTAATTCTGTTTAAAAATATATATGTTCTTACATTTCATTCCGGTGATAATGTATTATATTACCGTTCTACCACCTGTTAAATAGTTGGGAATTACGAATAACCAACCATCAGCTATTAGGTAGTTGGTAATTCGAATATCTATCTACCAACTACCTACCGAAATGACGCTCATTTATGATAAAGTAATGGTATAATGTTTGCCGTGGCTACAAAACAACATAATCATACATCTGTCACGTTTCATGATAAATTTATGAGCTCAGTTATAAGAAATTATGCCGTAGCAAAGGACCGAAAAGACAACGGATAATATACGAGTATTTTGTTATGCTCCTCGAAAGATTCGGGGGAGCATATAGTCGCCGCCTTGTCTGTCCGTCCGTCTGTCCAGGCCTACATCCAATGGTGTATGAGCATCATTCCGTCCGTGATTTTAGTTAAAAAAGAAAGAAATCCCATAAACCGACTGGTTTATGTGGTATTTTTACTGGTGTAAGGGTAAAATGCCACATAAAGATCAAAGAAAACGCACATAGACCCCGATTGTTGGCACGTCCGTCCGTCCGTCCGATTTTCTTGTCCGGGACATAACTTTGTATCAACATGAAACTTTGTAGGTAGATAAATCTCATTGAGTAGGTGTGAAGTGCACGAGAACCGTAACTCTGCCTTGCCTAATACTTGAATTATTGCCCTTTGTTTATTTGTACACTTTGAACTTTGTCCGGGACATAACTCTAAAACTATGAGTGCTATCAACATGAAACTTTGCAGATAGATATATCTCATTGAGTAGGTTTGCAGTGCACAAGTATCGTAACTCTATCTTCCCTACTTTTGGAGTTATTGCCCTTTGTTCATTTTGACACTTTGAACTTTGTCCGGGACATTACTCTAAAATTATAAGAGATATCAACATGAAACTTTGTAGGTAGATAGGTCTCATTGGGTAGAGCATAACCCGGTTCAACCGGTTCTTGTTTATTCTGAAATCAATGGATACTGGCTAAGATACATTCTAAAAGAATACACTCGTTCATTTTGAATGCCTATAAAAGTATGTTATAGTTTAAAAAAGGAAAAGGAACGTCAAATCTATGGTACATTATGTATTAGACATGATCTCATTTTTTTAAATAAAGGAGCGAAGTCTCTGTTTTGTAAGATGAAAATAAAATAGACCGGTCATCGACTTGTTCAAGCCAGTAAAGGTGTGACGACTGAAAAACGCGCGCTAGACAAGTTCTTTATAAAACTTATATCAAACCTCATATAGCCTCGTTCTCATTTCCAAAGTCCAAAAGGTTTGTATCAAACCCATATCGCAAACCATCCTCGTTTTTATTTTTTCAAGTGTCCAAAATGCATATCACATCCTTTTTGTTATTGAAATAACAAAGTTTTGTCAAAATGTTAAAATTGTGGTGTGAAAGAAAGAGGTCATTTAACATGGTTAAGAACCATGCTGATTCTAATGCACTACTATACAGCTACAAAACCTTTATAAAACTATACTCGTCCAATACAATCTTTGACAGCTATGTATTCGTTCAATATAATACAGTATTGTACTCAACAATGTACGACTCGTCCAATACTGTCTTTGACAGCTATATATTAGTTCAATATAGTACAGTATTGAACTCAACAATGTACGACTCGTCCAATACTATTTTTGACAGCTATGTATTCGTTCAATATAGTACAGTATTGTACTCAACAATGTACGAATCGTCCAATACTGTTTTTGACAGCTATGTATTCCTTCAATATAGTACAATATTGTACTCAACAATGAACGACTCGTCCAATACTGTTTTTGACAGCTATGTATTCGTTCAATATAATTCAGTATTGTACTCAACAATGTACGACTCGTTCAATACTGTTTTTACAGCTATGTATTCGTTCAATATAATTCAGTATTGTACTCAACAATGTTTGACTCGTCCAATACTGTTTTTGGCAGCTATGTATTCGTTCAATATAATTCAGTACTGTTCTCAACTATATAGTACTAATCAACAATGGTTAAAACAGCTTCAAAAATATGTGTTATAATGACATAGAATAATATTATTGTCATCAAAGTCAACATGTCACACATTGAAAAAATATTAAAAAAGAACAAAAGTTCTTTCTTCAGAAATATTCATATCCTAGAGAAAGTGAAAACACGTCATTCATTTCTGTTACATATTATTTTATCGACAACAGCAACATTTCAGCAATCTATCTTTTATGCAAAATGACTGAAATAATCATTTTCATGATAGTAAATTTATATTGAAAATCATGTATTAAAACAATAAAAGCAAAACAAATCTTTGAAGTAGAATGATTTTTAAAAAATCATGATTAGACTGTTGTTGAAGAATTGTATGCATAGAAAAAATAACCACATATTGACGGTTCATTAAATGAACTGGCTCACTGCAATTTAAGACACTTGGTTACTTTCTTACATATATGACACAATGGTCAACAGTTTATTGCTTTCTATATATTAATGCATTTTTGTATATAGATTATATAATGTATGCAGTGTATATTTTGAATAGACTTTAATAGAAAGCCCATAGTAAGACACATTTAGTTCGATTTCTATATAATAAAAAAAAAAGATATTGACCTGTGCAATAAAACAGCGCTACATTTCTAGTATCATATTTGTATATCACCCGTAGCCCGGGAAATATTTACACTTTATTAAGTACATTTAAAAAAAACTCAATTCTTAATATTGCCACAAATATCTGTAGAATGAGGGTCATGTATATCAAAAAACAATCTTAGTTGTGTATATAATTATCTAAATGAAACAAAATATAGAGGATATTGAATGAGTGTAAGTTCGATACTGAATTTATTGCACGAGTTGAATAAAATTATATTATGCGAGCCTCTGGCGAGTTCAATTGATTCAGTATTGAACTTACACGAATTTAATATTATATTTATCACATACCCAAAATAAAGACCATTTAAAGTGAAACAAGAGTCATTTTCATTGACGCGCCTATAGTATAACGCTAACATTCAGCGTGTCTTTACACTATGTTTGTATAACGCTAATGACGTCACGTCAAAATATATGCATGGCCGTGCAATACCATATTTACAGAGTCGCAAAATCGGCACGGGTGTGTGATAAATAAGTTTTTCACTTTACGCTCTGAATAATTACAGATAGAAGCTTCATGATTTTACATCAGTACGCATGTTTATGCATAACATGCTATTGGATTGTATATGTTTGACTAGGCAAACAAAATTATATACATGTAACTATATGGAATGATCCGTGAAAATGGTAAAAATAAAAAATCAATGCTTATTTCTGTAAAAATGTAAAATTTTGTGATCTATGTCAACTTTTCTAAAACACTCACTGTGTACATGTATGTATAGAAACCGGTGACAAATCGTATAGAGGCAAGAAAACGCATAAATTGACGTATATTTTCCACCGTGAAACTTTTACACCCAGCGCATCCCCTATGTTTTGCAGCTCATTGACGGCGACTCGATGCACTGACATCTCTGAACAATGGCTTTTTCGTAAATTTAGAGCTTCTCCTTTACGGCACTATAAAGCAGTTACTGGTGGTCCCAGAGACAATGCCAGAACCGCACGCAAAGTTATGTAGTATCATCTGAACAGATTAAAGCTTCATGAAAAAAGTATTCAAAGAAATAAACTTTAGATAGATACTACTCATACAAATGTACATAATATTCAGGAAAATAGCAGTTATTAGCCAAAAATAAATGTAAAATTAATAAAATCACCCTACTTTCGGTTTTGCAGCGAAACAGGCCACCTCTTTGCTATTGATTCTTTTTATATCACAGGTACCCTCTTATTCAATGTTTTTGATACAGGGGTACCTGTCCTAACACAGTACGTATAGAAGCAAGAAATAAGATTTTATAATACAGGTAGTCGGAATTCGACTTGAATGGGCAGTTCTTATTTAAGACAAGCGATTCCTGCCACTGACCAGTTCTGAAATTAAGCATCATAAGTTTACAAATGTGTTCTTCTATTTTATATATTCACATTATTGAATAATAGAAGTCCGTACTATATATATACTGAACCAAAAAAGAAACTTTCGCAAAAGAATGTGCCAGTTGTTCAGTTTGTTTTTGTTTGTTTCATTTTACGCCTTTCCCAACAGTATTTCAGTCATGTAGGCGGGTAGTTTCCTAACAATCGTTCCTGGAGAGTTACACCAGTACCGATTTAAGACAGCCATATAGATCTACAGTACATTGTGATCTAAAAAAACACCGGTTTATACATATAGCAAATGCATTTATCTCATATAAAAGTGTGATTTATAACCGCTTAATTAACTTTTACATTTGCACTAATTACACATTGTCTGAAGTAATGCTATTTAGTTTTTTTTTTTTGTATTTTCTGATCGCATGATCAGTAAATACATAGCTAACATCCACGGTCTAACACAAAATTTCCTCACAGACCTAACAACGCAAAGTAGTTCTCACTCAAAACTGCTTAAAACCAGCAATTTAAAAGAAAGAATAATTTTTAATGTAGGCATTAAACGAATTACAGTGCATTTAAAGTTTACATTAGTCAATAGAAATATGAGGTTACAATCACAAATTTCGCGGATGAATATCTTTTTTACCCAATGAAAAATGTTCGACTATTTCCGTAAAGCTTAATCAATGAAAATGCTATTTTTAGCTATGTCGATTACCGAATACTCCAGAGCGTAGTACACAAATAAATCTGACTGTCGAGTAATGGAATATATACATGTCGGACTGTTTTGGCGAGAAGATTTTCGCTAAATTATTTTCATCGGTGTTTCGTGAACAAAATACCTCGAAATTAATAAGGATTACAAATACGAAATGAAAATTCTCAATTTTAGAATTACAATATATTTGTTTTTATTCACGCTACATACGTATTACTTCACTGTGGTGCAGAGGTAGCGCGCTCGTTTAGGGTGTGAGAGGCCTAAGGTTAAAATCCATGTCGAGGCAACATTTTTTTGAAGTGTCTTTTTTAAGGAAGTAGCCACGATATCAAAGGATAAAGTGTGGCTGTAATAAAAAAATGAAAAATGATTTTTGATGCAACTCTAGATATGCAAAATTCCATATGTATCAATCACAAACTGTTAAACGCAGTCGCTGCGTAAGATGAATAATAGTATATAAAAATAAACTTATACAGGAAAGATCAGAAAATACCACAGAGCATGCAGCCCTTTGATTATAAAATGACCTTTATCCATTCCAAAGACGATGCGACAGAAAGCCGTTCCACTTCCGGACAAACCGGAGAACTTCCGTGTTAACCGGCATTTAAATAAACTATATATTCGGAGTTGTTTGGACTTCACGTGGGGAAAACAAATTTATTTCAGTAAAAAAGCAACAAAAACAACAAGAAACTGATAAAATGTCAAGCGCCGGGGACTGGTGTTTGATTGAAAGTGACCCAGGCGTTTTTACAGAGTTAATCAAAGGCTTTGGTAATTTGAACATATCTTGACAAAAATTAAATAAAAATTTGCTTTGTACAAATAGCCCTACTCATGCTACTCAGGCTACAGGGCTAGGCTAATGAACATGATGATCAACTTGTTGCAAGTCTTGTACTGTCTACGTTTAGATTCATAAAACCATATAAATATGAGTTAATTTATACATTTTTCATTATGGTTATAAAAAATAAGTATTTGGACCAAAATCTTCAACATAACCTGAATAGTGATTTCATATAAATTTTAATGCAGGCACACACTCAGATAAAATATCGACATCATGGCTAAGTACAAAACAGCGCCGCACACATGTTGTAATGGAATCGCTTCAGCACACGGGTTCGGTAAATTTTATACCTGGTATAGACATGGTGCATATCCATATTGATACCCTCTTTGCGAAATCTGCTCAAACGGTACCCTCTCTGAACATGCACGGGTCATTCTCTGCTAAAAACAAACCAGGGATGGATAACAATACAGTAAAATTTCATTGTAATAAGGAAAGGAGGTATGACACATAGAAAAGATGTATACCACGGAACACTAGAATGTTTTATTTATGCGGTCCTTATTTATGTGCTGATTTGTCATGTGCCCGATTTTCATGTACTGCTACTTCACAATAAGCTACAAAAAATCGACATGTCTTGCTTTGCCCATCAACTTACATATTTTTCGGGCTGAAATGAACCTGTGGCTTGATTATATATGCATCATACATATTTAATATGTTCATGAACATATCATCTTCGGACAAATGGCAGTAGATCTATATTGTCAAAAATAAATGTAAAATTCATAAAAACACCCTACTTTCGGTTTTGCAGCGGCACAGGCTACCTCTCTTCATTTGAATTTTTATATCACAGGTACCCTCTCATTTTTTATCATGCAACTGCTATGGTAACTGCCCGATAACACTTGCCTGATAATTATTTTTGATATCAGGTCAGTAACCTGATATCAAAAATAAGCCCCGCCCATTTTAACCGACTTTTTTTCAATTGCTTATATTCTCATTTTCATCATCATGTGAATTCTACAATGTGATCTCATACCCTTACAAGTCTTGAATCAAGATGCGATATTTATTTATTTGTTATTTCGATTTCAATTACGAATAAATTAGATAGCGAATAGTTTTAGCACCTACTAAATGAAGTGACGTCATAATTCATATTGCAAATGACATCATCGATGTTCACGTCATACTATACATGTAATCATAACAAACAGGCTAGACGGTTTTCTTTGAGAACTTGTAAATGTTTACTTTATTTCGCCGGATTATTATTTAATAAGTGAACAAATTGTTTCGTTTAAAAAATAAGACGCATGTTTGTGTAGCTTGTGTTTGATTGCCGAGTTGACTTTTCTTTGATTGAAATTATCGTGAACTTTTGAATTTGACAATTCAAGACAAAAATTGCAGTAAAGTTTAGTTTATGTGATTCTAAGCCGATTTTTGGATCGATGTTTAAATTAAAGGTAAGAATGTTATCGTATTAGGCCTACAGTCTGTTGTATCTTTTATCCAAGTCGAAAGAAAAAATGGCCGCCAAAATTTACAAATTCTAATTTTCAGGGGCGGAGGAATTTGTTTTCAAGAATTATTTCTTTGAACAAAAATTCCCCTTTTTAACGAAATTCGCTATTTAAAAGTTGATTATTTTGTTATTTTGACAGTTATTATGTGTTACATGATAAATAGAAAAACATGCTACTGTCTTTTGATATCAATTTTATCAGGCTCGGCTGATATGGGCAGAAAGGGCTCGGCAAGCCTCGCCCTTTCTAGCCCATATCAGCCTCGCCTGATAAAATTGATATCAAAAGACAGTAGCATGTTATTCTCTATTTAACACATAGGTACCCTCAAAGTACGACATATGCTTTTATTTGCGTTAATCGTTAAGTATGTAATATTTAAATAAAAGTAAAAAGTATTACATACATGTACACGCTTAACGATTAACGCAATTCAATTTCACATGCATGGTATATGGCAAAGGCTACAAATTTCTGTCTTCTAGCTGATAAAAGTCAGATGCTGTTAAGTCATGGTTTTGGTAAGGAAGAGCATGAGGCATTTTATGGGCAGACCTGGGGTAATCACTAATCGTAATCATCGATTTTTTAATTGATTACATGATTACACTGTAATCATCATGTAATTGATTACCTGGCTCAAAATTGATTACATTGATTGTAATTAATCAATTACAGCACAAATTCAGTCTGTAATTATGATTACAATTTGATTGATATTGATAACTTTCAGATTTTACATGAAACTATTGAAATTCAAATGATTTATTTCACATGTTACAGTTTAACTAAGGTAGTAAAATATCAAGTGAGACATTTTAAGACATCACTCACAATGAAGAAATAAGTTTTAATCCATATAGTTAACCAAATTCTAACTGAAAGATAGACATCATTGTTTGGCTGGTATTCTAACCAAAATGTCAAATCATTGGATTTATGATATCTATGAATTTCCTAAAGAAACATCTGGAAATGTGACAGCACAGTGCAAATTGTGCCCTAAGAGAATCCCGGACAATCCCCCTCCCGGACGATTCCCCTTACATATTATTTTCACAACCCGGACATTTCCCCTCTCGTTATTTTAATAGGGCGGACTTTTCCCCTCCCGTTAATTTTACAGGGCGGACAATTCCCCTCCCGTTATTTTAGCAGAGCGGACAATTCCCCTCCCGTTTTTTCACAGAGCGGAACGTGACATTATACATCCCTTAATCATAGCCGCCTATGCGATTAAAAAAATCTATAAACATACTAATTAAAGATGACAGTCTTTGCTCTTAACAACAAACTGTTAAAGATCGGAACTTTTAACAATCATTATTTCACAAAGGTGACATTATACCGCCTTTAATCATTGCCGCCGCTGCTTAAGATAAACAAACTGTCAATAAAAAATCTTTAATCATTGCCGCCCTTAATTAAATGTGTCCTTAATTGCAAAACCAATTATTGACAATTATTAATTATCGTTAAAGCAGATCACAATAATTGTTTTGTAATTAGTGTACAAAAAGTATTTACTATTTTATAATTAGTCTATTTATTATTAAGGATGACAGTTTTTACTCTTAAAAACAAACTGTTAAACTGAAAACATTTATAATATTGTCAAATCTTTCTTCAAATCACTTCCAAAATGGAAATTATTACAACAAGAAACGGTACCAAAAAACTTTGTCATGATGGATACGTTTATACCAAGAAGAGAACAACAAAATCTACTATACGATGGGAGTGTTCCCAGAGGTACGCCCAAAAATGCAAGGGTGCTGCGGTGACAGACTTGAACGTAAGTTTTCAGGAATAAATAATTAAGTAAAAATTAAGTAAAACAGGAAATAATTAGAACTAATTTTAACTATTCCTACATTCCTACATTTACGAGCCATTGTACAAATTAATAACTATTTTAAAAACAAATAGTATCTTTTAGAAGTATTAAAACCACAACATAATTTGTTAATACTTGTTGTGTATATTTTTGTATTACAAATGTATATAAATAATTTAAAGTTGTTATAAATTTATTCCTTTTGTAGATGACGAGTGTTCATTCAGTAACTTCTCACACACATGACGCAGATAAATTCGCAGTAGAAGCCATAAAAATTAGAACAGAAATAATGAATGCAGCTGATGCTAATAGAGGAAAACCTGGTCAGATTCTTGCTGATAAACTGCTCCAATATCCAGTGCAGGTAATTATAACAATGTTTTTTTACGGAAAGAATAATGTTAGCACAATATTTATTTAAAATAAATATTAAATAGAAAATAAAATATAAAGAGAATAAGTATTATAAAGAAAAAGAAATAAAATGACAATAAAAATAAAATTCTTTTTCTCCCTGTATCTCTATATGTCTGGTGTACGTGAATAGCACATATTGTTGCATTATAATAACAGAATTGCACCTTAGTAAAAAAGAAATTAACATGTGAGGGGTAAAGGTCGATGTTATATTGAATGTAAGTTTAATCCTTAATGTATGTTAGCTTTCTTTATTTCTTTTTTTAGGTGCGCGCAGCAACAGGACAACATGAATCTCTGAAAAGATCAATTAGACGTGTAAAAAGAGGACAAGCACCAAAAGAACCAACATCAATTAACGACATTCCACATCCACTACCGAATGATTACACCACTACAAATGCAGAAAATGATGAACCATTCCTGATACACGACAATGCGTCCGACACAAGCCGCCTCCTTATATTTTCAAGTGAAACCGGATTAGAACTTTTAGGAAACGCTCATACTTGGTACATGGATGGAACTCATTCCACAGCACCACAACAGTTTGGACAATTATTTTGTATAAGAGTTCCATTAAGTGATTCACATGTTTCGGTGGTGTACGCTCTATTACCTGGTAAACAACAATCACACTATGAAGAATGTTTTACAGCAATTTTAGACGTTTGCTTACAGAAGGACATCCGGCCCAACCCAGCAACAATCGTCGCAGACTATGAGATCGCCATACACAACGCGGTGAGATCAGTCATTGGCTCAAGTATCCATATACAGGTATGTATGCTTACAAAACATATCAAATGTATCCCAGATAATACAAGTATTCACTGTTTCTTTCAAACAGCAAAAATAAATATGTCTGTATGTTTAAGTATAAACACCTTATTTCAAATAGTCACAATGCTATCACTGGTTATATTATTTATTAAATACATAGTAACGTTTCATCTTTATTTTTGTGTTAAAAAGTGTCCGATTATTGTTAGATTTGACTAACTTCTTTATTTTATTTCAGGGTTGTTTTTATCATCTAACACAAGCTACATGGCGTCATATTCAAAGCGAAGGGTTACAGTCGTTGTACAGAGAAGACAAGGATATCAGACACTTCTGTGGTCAATTAGACGGCCTTGCCTTCCTTCCAGCGAGCAAGGTGACTGAAGGAATGTCGCTTCTTCGAGATTCAGCCCCAGATGTCTTGTCAGGTTTAGTAGACTATTTTGACTCAACATACGTTTCTGGGTCATACAGATCAGTGCTATGTAATGGACGAATTCGACTACGAAAGACATCACCAAGATTCGATCCCCAAGTATGGAATGTTCATGAAACAACACTTAATGACGGTGACCGCACCAACAACGTTTGTGAGAGTTGGAACAATGGTTTTAGACACCTTGTAGGACACAGTAATCCATCATTGTGGACAGTTATAAATTGCCTCCAGAAAGACAATTCATTAGTAGAGACAGAGGTGTATAGAGACAGTGTAGGAGAAAATGTGACGAAACGTAGGAGAAAAGAAACAGTCTCTCATCAGAGAAAACTCAAGAAACTGTGCGAGGAAATTCAGTCGGGAACGAAATCAACCCAGGAATTCCTACATGCCATAGGGAAATGTGAAAGACTTGTGAAATGAAGTAGAACTCCTACAAATGTGTTATAAAATCAAAATGATCACTGATATTTTGTGTAAGGACTTGACTTCATGTACTGATTCAATATGGTGAATGTGATTTTCTAATCATAATGACGATGATGACAGTTCAATTTCCTATTACATGTGCATAATATATTCTTTGCAAGAATCTATAGCTTAATCGTTTTGTTCTCATCAATTGTTCTTTTATTGTTTTGCCGCTGCAAAAATGTATTGACGAAATAAAGATTATTTTAAAAAATGCGTTTTGTTTTGTTTATATTCATGTATGAAAATTGGGGATATACCATTCCCTCGTCCGCACGAGATAGCAAAATGTATTTAAAGCCGATTAAAACTTGTAGGAGGGGAATTGTCCGGGTTGTTAAAAGAACGGGAGGGGAATTGTCCGGGTTGATAAAAAAACGGGAGGGGAATTGTCCGCCGTAAAAAAATAACGGGAGGGGAAATGTCCGGGTTGTGAAAAAACATTCAAATTTACTGGGAGGGGAATCGTCCGGGAGGGGGATTGTCCGGATTCCGCCCTAAGAAGATAAATGGAAACACTAAGTCACATTCAAATTTCATTACCCACATAAAGGTATGTTAAATTTTGTTTCAAATATTTTGATTAAACCATGTTTTAAAAAGTTTCAAACAATGTAGATAACTTCTTTACTTTGTATATTCTAGAGTTTATGTCAGATGCATATTACCATACATGTATTTTAATTATATGCAACAGTTATTTTGTAAGGTGATAGACAATGTGTCTATATTATAATGGATACTTTTGTACCATTGAAGTGTTTGTAAAAAAAACTGATAATTTCTTTGTAAAGTCTATTGTCTCTTTGAATTCCCATATACAAATTTATTGTTTTCACACCTGTTTTAACACCTGTATACAGTATACTGTACAATTGACACTTTAAATATTTCTTTTGCAGGGAGTTCATTATGAAACCTACACCAAGAAGACTGAGGACCATCCCTGCATCATTGGCCCCTGTAGAGCGTTTGTTTAGTGTTGCGAGAAAAATTTTCCGTCTTATAGATGCAGACTGACTGACAGACAGTTTCATGAACTTATGATGCTAAAGTGCAATGCTAAAATATGATAAAGTGATGTGACATTAAATGTCATTTACTAAAAGTGTGTAAAAATGATGACTGTTGATGAGCTGGAAATCCTTTGTGTATATAATGTATATAATGTATATATTAAATAGCATAAAGAAACTTTTGTTTATAGTTATACATGGAATGTAATCAATTATCAATCAATTACTTTCTCAAAGTAATTGTAATTTAATTGATTACAGAGGCAAAACTGAGTAATCAATTGTAATCAATTACAATAAAATCTGAAAGTAATTGTAATTAAATCAATTACTGATCAATGTAATCATCCCCAGGTCTGTTTATGGGAAAATATTAGCATTTTTAGGAGAAAATACATGTATACCTATTTTGGGCTAGGGGAAACAGCCTTTATTCAGCTGTAAAATACAGTGAAAAAAATCACTATTTGACCAATTATATCTTACTGAAATTGTTTTTTTTTGTGCAAAATCAAATATATATAACATTTAACAATATGAGATTTTGTTGACATATAGTATTCCACTTTTTCTTTAAAACAAAGAGAAATTACCCTACCTTAATATACCTTTTCCCTGGTCCCCGGTTTGAGTCCCCTGTTAGATATTTAGGGCCCTGTTTCTGAAAATGTTATTTCTAATTTTACAGGTTGTGAAGGTGTGCAAGTGGAGGAGATATGGAGCTTGGATGAAGAAACACTGAAAGATTTAAAGTATGTCATAAAAAATTTAAAGCATTTATATTTATATATGAGTCAATAGCTTATAAGGATGTTCATATATATGCTATAACATTTATGTGTACAAACTGACCACAACTTCACAAGGGAGTGTCACTGTGGTCACAGGGTTGTCATTAAAGACTTTTCTGAGACTGTCCCCCATTGTTAATTTGAGAAGTTGTTACTGTCATTTTTGGTTTTATTGCATGCAACATGGAGTGTTTATTAAGTATTGAGGCAGCTTAGAATGCATTTAAGACAGTCATTTTGGTATATATATGCCTCCTTAATTCTGTTTTGCAGGGTCATTTTACTTATTACCTTGCATTATAATAATGCCCTTTTTTATATACTACAATAATAATAAAAGGGATATATAAAAATTAGATTCAATATGTCAGTCCCCCAGGTCGGTTGATTTGGCTTTTTGTATTTTGTTCAAAGCATAACTGTAAGCCTAATGGGAATATCAGTATAGAATTTAATAAAATCCATCCTTTTAATAAAGTGATGTATAAATTCACTAGTGAATTTTGTTGGTGTCAATTTTATTTTCTAAATTCAACAAGACCTGAAAATTTACAGATTGTGTGCACCTGGTGAGGGAGAGGAAAAAACAGGGTCATATTTTTGTTCAGAAATTTACATTAAAGGGACTCAACTGAAATTTTTTGACATGACGAGACTGGAATTGTTTTTCAAATATTTGTGTACCATTTGATGTATCTCTAGAGCCGTAACTTATATGCAAATTATAATTCCCTCCCCCAGTTTTTCCTGAATTGATATTTTTGTTGTGCAAATTAATCCAAAAGTCAAAGAATAGCGCAAAAAAAAAAAAAAAGATTTTTAATTAATGCAGTTTTTATGCCCCCGCCTTGTAATGGCCGGGGCATATAGTGTTACCCTGTTCCGTCATTCCGTCCTTCCATCCTTCCATCCTTCCGTCCTTCCATCCTTCCGTCATTCTGTCATTCCGTCATCATCAGTTTCCGTTCATTATCTTAAGAACGGTTGCACACATTCAACTCAAATTTGACATATGGATATGTCATGAGAAAATACAGGTCAAGTTCGAATTTGGTTATGGTTCGATGATTTTTGGCAGAGTTATGCCCCTTTTACTTTGAAAATAATATGAAATTTTCAGTTTCCGTTCATTATCTCCCCAACGGTACAACACATTCAACTCAAACTTGACTTATGGATATTTCATGAAAAAATACAGGTCAAGTTCGAATTTGGTCATGGTTCGATGATTTTTGGCAGAGTTATTCCCCTTTTACTTTGAAAATAATAAGAAATTTTCAGTTTCCGTTCATTATCTCCCCAACGGTACAACACATTCAACTCAAACTTGACATATGGATATGTCAAAGGAATGCGCAGGTCAAGTTCAATTTTGGTCATGGTTCAATGATTTTTGGCGGAGTTATGCCCCTTTCACTTTGAAAATAATATGAAATTTTCAGTTTCCGTTTATTATCTCCCAACGGTACAACACATTTAACTCAAATTTGACATATGGATACGTCAAAGGAATGCGCAGGCAAGTTCGAGTTTGGTCATGGTTCAATGATTTTTGGCAGAGTTATGCCCCTTTCACTTTGAAAATAATATGAAATTTACAGTTTCTGTTCATTATCTACCCAACAGTGTTACATATGCAACTTAAATTTGACATATGGATATGTCAAAGGAATGGGCAGGTCAAGTTGGAATTTGGTCATGGTTTGATGATTTTTTGGCAGAGTTATGTCCCTTTCACTTTGAAAATAATATAGATACATCTTAGGAATAAGCAGTTTAAGTTTGAATTTGGTTGTATTTCAATGATTTAAGACAAACTTATCTTTCCTGAATGTTGGAAAAATTTTGAACTTTCACTTTCAGCACTCATTATTTTGGCTACAAATATGCAATATGCTATTTTTAAAAGGTTTAGACTGAATAATTTCAGTGCCTTGAACATTGAATGAAAATGGTTTGTGTTAACATTGAAAAGTTTTAAGGGCTTTGAACTTAAAATGAAAAAAATAATTAAAGCACCATCTGAAATTTTGGCTGCATGCGGGGGCATCCGTGGCATGATGACACATTTCTAGTTTCCTTTTTAAATACCTTACTTGATTTAAGTGAGAATTTTAAATATTATGTTTCTTAGGCTTTTTTGACCTCAGTGGTCAGTGGAGTTCCTTTAAATTAACTTGCAAGTACATGTAACTGTTGCCACTTATTTCATTTTAGACCTGTTCACGGATTGATATTTCTGTTTAAATGGGTACCAGACACAGAGCCAGATGGTTCCATTGTTCAAGATAGTCGGCTGGAGAAGATATTCTTTGCTAAACAGGTATGAAGGGAGATTATTACGATCATGTTTCAAGTAAGATTTTTTGTTTGCTTTATTTTAAGCTTTACAAAAATTGACCAGCGGTTCTGACACCTCAGCCTGTCTGTGAGTCCGTCCAGTATTGTGTTTCTATTTATTTCATAACCACATGACAAAAGGATAGCTAGTCGAATTTAGTCACCTGGACATTTGATTTTTCATAGTACCTTTGAAGCTTTACATTTGTTTAAATTTAATTACACCAAACCAATATTGAACATTTTTTCTTTTTTGTGTTTTCACTAACTTATTATTTTAGTATGGATTTTAACTGAATCACACCTTTTCTTAATTTAGAATTTTGGGTAGAATTGGGAAATTCTGTTTTATATACAGGTTCTATTTGCCTAACTACTGAAAATATATATCTAGAGTTACAAGAAACTTGCAATGTATTACATGACTTCAGAGTTCAAGGATATGTACTAACCTGTATAACTCTAGCATGGATATTTACTGATTTATCTCCCTTTGTGAATTTGTAAACATTCTGTCATTGCTTTCTTGTTTTACTGTCATTGGTTGATTATAGTCTAGCATGCTGTCCATCGTGAATATCTTGTAAGTTTTTAACCTCAAATGGGTAACCTACACTGTGCTGGAACTGACAGTGATTCGTCTTTGCTGGCAGTATCTATAGATTAGAGTCAGGCCAGCCTGCTAACCAGGCTCTATACTGTTGGCTGACTTGTTTCTTTTTTTGCAACCGTTTTTACTTTTAATTGCATGGGAATTTTTTTAATTACAAAGATATACTAGTACTATGCTCAGTGAAATGTTTTATTTAATTAGAGAAATTAATGGAAATCTATGAATCAGGGTTCTCAATAACTTTCAGCTAAGCAGGCCAAATTTGTTTCCTAGCAGGCCTCCTAGGGGGGATGGACAGCATGCTAGACTATAATCAAACAATGACAGTAAAGCAAGAGAGCAATGACAGAATGTTTACAAGGGCTTGATGTCTTGCATTATAGGCCATATTATGGCAGTTTTAAACTATAAAAGCAGACCAAACGTAAAGACATAATTTGAAAAAAACATTCGTATCATCAATAAATGAGCCGTGTCACGACAAAACCAACATAATGGGTTTGCGACCAGCATGGATCCAGACCAGCCTTTGTCTCCGTGCAGTCTGATCAGGATCCATACCGTTCGCTTACAAACCCTATAACAAGTAGAGAAACTGATAACGAACAGCATGGATCCTTATCAGACTGCGCAGATGCTCAGGCTGGTCTTGATCCATGCTGGTTGCAAACCCATTATGTTGGTTTTGTCGTGGCGCGGCTCAAATTATGTACGAATTACACAATAAATGTAATTAGAACTTTTGTACCTTTAAAACCCCCTCAAAAAAATGATAATGGACAGTTCAGAGTAAAGAGGAAGTCTAATTAAAAATATTCATCAGGCTAAGGGATAAGAAACCAATGTTCTTGACTCTGAGGTTATAAAACTTTTTTGTTTGTGTTCTACCTGACAAATCTCAGGATTTTGATTGGTTAGTGTACATTCCGTGAAGGTTTCTGACCAATCAAATACCTGAGATCTGAGCGTGAACTTAGAGATTTTATTTGTAACCTTGGACTATAGTCTCATATTTGTATGTTTTTCTTTACAGGTTATTAATAATGCTTGCGCAACACAGGCCATCCTTAGTATATTATTAAATTGTAGTCATCCAGATCTTACCTTGGGAGAGACTCTCTCATCCTTCAAAGAATTTTCACAGAACTTTGACCCTGCTGTAAGTATTGTTGTATATTATAAATTCTAACACGACCAGCATTTTTCACTATTGAACATAGATGGACCGATATTGTGTATTATTATGCATTAAAATCACTGTTGAAGTTCTACATTTAGACATGTGATGTAACCATTATACATGTGATGGAACCACTAAACATGCAATATGCTGAAAATAAGTACAGAAACAAATTAATATTACCATTTCTTTCTCTGATGGTTCTAACAGGCATTATACAAGTGTTATTTACATAGAGGATATTGAATGAGAGTAAGTTTAATACTATTTTTATTGAATAAGTTGAATAAAATCATATTATGCTAGCCTCTGGTAGCAAAATATTGTTTTATTTAACGAGATGGAGTACTTGCTTATCATGACAAATACAGTTGTATGACAAGGGGCATAATTCTGAAAGCTATATTTTAGGAGTTATGTCCCTAAATAAGTTACAACATTTGTCTAAAGTTATAACAGACAGGCGTTAACACTGCATGTATTGCTTTGCATTATTTTCACTGCTAGTTATAATATGTTAATTCTCTAAAGACCATTTTATAACTGTGACACTATCTTTATTTCCCCAGCTACGAGGGCTCAGTCTAAGTAACTCCGATATTATCAAACAAGTGCACAACAGCTTCTCAAGGTGAGTATGATATTAGATAATCAGTCTGTGCTACTCTGCCACCCAGAAAATTTACATATTGCAAACAGCACTAACCATCTACAAAATTACCAAAAAGAGGTCTAAATATGCAAAAAATAGCCCTTACTGCGTTAGTAACGCAGTAGAAATATGATGATAAATACCGCAAAATCATTCATTGATAGCACATTAGATATGAAATATTTCTTGAATTTATTTACTTTTCCTACAATATTTTTGTCATTTTGTGTTTTCCCAAAGTTTGATTTTCTTGAAATATTTTGGCTCATCTGGAGGCATGCAGCTTTAAAGATTTAAATTTGAAGTCTTTATTATTATATTATTGTAGACAGCAAATGTTTGAGTTTGATGAGAAACAAGCAAAGAAAGACGACGATGTGTTCCATTTTGTAAGTTACATCCCCATAGATGGTAGATTATACGAGCTGGATGGTCTTAAAGATGGGCCAATAGATCTAGGTAAACCATTATGATAATGATGAAGCTTCAATTTTTACCATTTTCTTCAAAGGCACATTATGCCTCAGAAAAGATTACCATACTGTTTCTATTAAACACATCCCAAACCACCTGGGGGCTTGCATTTTTCCAAGAGGGGGGAGGGCACTAATTAGAACTATTAAAATATGTTTTAAAATATGTTTGTTAAAGACACAAATCATTTATAAAAATCATTATTTAATTATTATGATCTAATATATTATACAGGATTATTTTTGCAGGCATGAATATTATTGTAGGCTTGGATAAAAAAAAGGTTTTCAGGGCCTAGCTTGTGAACTTTATACCTTTTATTAGTACACATATCCTTAAAGAATTGTGTCACAGAAATGACAAGTAGTTTATTGTATCTACAGGTGCTGTACCAGAGGGCTCAGACTGGTTGGACCTTGTTAAACCTGTTCTTGAAAAACGCATGCAAAAGTAAGTGTATAAGACAACTCTAAAATAAGAAATTTCTTAAAAGCTTTGAAAACAATTTATGAAGACTCCATAATTGAAAATTCAGGATATTAGGGCATCTCATAAAGCAATATTATTTAGTCTATTTATGATGGTGTGATGTTCAATATTTCCCACAGCCGCTTGCTCGGCTTTAGCAGTGAATCCAAAAATTCACAATGCATCTCCTATTAACTCTTTACCTCCTATATACGCAAAACAACGCACTTTCAACCCCCCCCTCTTTTAGGCCTCAAATAGTGAAAAAATGTCCTATTTGGGCCCCAAACACATGTTTTCGTTTGAGAAATGTTGCTAAAAAAGGTGAGCCAGCCCCCATCCAAAAAATACATCAGGATGTTCCAGAAGGGGGATGTGCCCCCTTCTGTTTGGGGGGTTTGAAGGGGGGGCGGTAGTCCCCCTCTTTGCCAAGAAAATTTTGGACTTGTGAGAGGCTAAAAATGACCTCAGGTCCATCATAAGGTAACGTGTAACCAACACTGAAAAGCCTTTGACTCTGTCTCAATCCCTTGAGAAGTTGCGGCACTTTAAAATAAATTTTGATGGAGAAAATCAAGGCAAAATAGTGATTTTTGGCAATTTTGAGACGTCCCCTCATTTGTAACAGGAAATTTAAGACTGAGTATGTCATCACAAAGGCAAGGCAATGGTCCAGTCAACATTTGTGCCAAGTTTGATTAGTATTGAAGCATTCTTCATAGTTTCATAGCAGTTTGAACTTGTAATAGGAGGCTTTTCAATGAAAACGGCCATTTTTCACAATATGTTTATGAGGGAAAGGGTTAAAGTAACTTGATAATATAGTACATATTCATACACATTCTTAAAATAATTTTCATATTAATTTGTTTTTGTGACAAGATGAGAAAAATGTGCATCCTGACTTGAACCCGAGACCCATGACATTATTATTGTATTAATGCAATTTCAATAGTCAAACAACACTTTTATGCAGTTATCTTGGCAATGCTAGATAGAATGAAGATGATATTAACAATATACTCCTACATGAACTGTGGTTTGATCCTTATTGCAGTAACAAGCCATGATTTCATGGCAGTATAGTTAAGGGCCATTCTTTATCAAGAAGCATGTTTAAGAAATTTGACAAATAGCTGTTGTGACGCATTTTTATGTCAATCTGCCAAAGTTTGGTAGATTTTACTTTTTCCAAAAGATGATGGACGGTTATTAAACCAACAAACAAATAATTCCCAGTAAAACTGAAAAGTTGACATATTTGTCCTTCATAAAATCAAAAAATCAAAGCAAAAAAAGGAGATTTTTTCTTTTTGTTACTTTCAGGTACAGTGCTGGTGAAATCCATTTTAACCTCATGGCTTTAGTTTCTGATAGAAAAGCATGTTATGAAAAGAGATTACAAGAATTATTTGCTCAAACAGAGGTATGTTTTCTGTTAGAATTTTCCTATACTTACATATCAGACAGGATTTACTTCAGTTTATACCCATGCTGGAAAGACTGTAAGACAAGTGCCTTGCTTTTATTTAAATGACTCTTTCCTGGCGCAATTTTATGAATGAGTTACATGCTTAAGATGTTGTCATTTCCCCATTATGAATTTAGTTCTATTTCATATATATGGTGCCATAAGAAAATATAAGTTAAATAAAAAAATTGGCAAGAAAATGAATGAAGCATTTGACTGCCATCACAGTGGGGAATATCTAGCTCTTTTGAAATTCTTCAGCAGAAACCTCAAGGCTGTAAATTGTTTGCCTCAAGAAAGATATTCTGATCTGTTCTGAAAGCCAGTGTAAACATCTAACTAGATATGAAAGGCCACAGGTGGAAGCCATTATCTTTTATTACATGCTTTTCGGTGGTTTATAGAAATATATTAGTGAAATAAAAAACTGTTATTTCTCTGTTTGAAACAGTGAAATTATCAAATTGATGATATTCACTGTTTTGAATTTAAGCCCGTTACGTCGTTTCAGTGAAATGCCAGCATGCACAGTACTGGGTACCAACTTAATAACGTGATGTCGTAAATGGTTGGCGCACCTTTCATTTAGCATTAGGTTAAAACGTCTTTTTAAACGTTATTTTGCATATAATAAAAAGAAAATTTGTATAGTTTAGTGTAAGATTGAAATATATTTCACCTCGTGAACACCAAAAGTTCATATTTCACTTATCCTCTATGTAATAATGGCTGTCATACTTCACCATGCTAGTTTTTAAGGACTCCACATGACCAGACGATAATTTTTTTTTTTCGAGCATTTTATACCAATCGATGAAGGTCTATACCAAAAGTATGTGCGCTTAATTTTAGATAATTCGTTTGTTCCCATTATTTTCCGGAATCATTTTTATTGTGCTAAATGACCATAAATTTAACAAATAAATATTTTAATAACTTGGGCTTCTTGCTTCTTGGGACAAGACACATATGTAGAACAACTTCACAAGGGACATAACAAAAAAAACAGTATTTCAAGAGTTACTCGCCTTTTTTTCACAAGGAAAATGATTCAACTATTGCATTAATGGTATTATCTTGACCATGCAATATCACAAAGTTATTCATCTCATTGAAAAGTGAAGTGCATTACGACCATAAAATGTTTAATGCTTTGTCATAAAAGTAGCAAAATGTAAACAAAGTAGTATATTTTATATTGTTGTATTTAACAGACAGGCGGTATGGAGACAGATTTAGTAAAGTCACAGATAAGTCAGTTACAGATGTTAGTTGCTGATGAGGAGAGAAAGATGAAAAAATATAAGGTATGTCATGTTTATATAACATTTCTATCCTTTGTTCACACCCTTTTAGCTTAATAGGGAGAATAGTGATAGAAAATTTAAAGTGACACATATCAATCGCAACATCTCTTCTATTATCATAACTTCGGACTTAATGTGGATTGAAAGTAGTTCCATCACATGGTTTTAATGTGGATTGAAAGTAGTTCCATCACATGGTTTTAATGTGGATTGAAAGTAGTTCCATCACATGGTTTTAAATTTAAACACAAATTTATATTATTATGTATTTAAGGTCCGTGATTTAAACAAAAACAGGGGGGGGGGGGTTTAATCTTTGATAATGTATAACGTGTGCTATGTATTTGACATCCAGAGGAAAATAAAGTCTTTTTATTTAAGGTATATAAATAATGTACTGTTTTACTGTTATATTTTTAAATTTACTAAATTAAGATGACTTTTACTCGATATATTTGTATAAATATGGTCTTTAGCTCCTAGCATTAAATTATATTTGTTTAAATGTTAACATGTTTAGTTTCTTAACAAATAGATATTTGATACTAAATACACATGCTTAGATCTCAAATAGGCATATAGCGTGTTATATTTTTCATAGTAGAACTTTTATGCGAACTTTCAGGACAACCCTTGTATGACAGGCATTTTTCATTTAATGAAAAATTCTATTATTGTTATTAAATTTTCAATGGCAAGTTTGCTTACTTGATGAGTTTTTTATTTTCAGATAGAAAATATCCGTAGAAAACACAATTACCTCCCTTTCATAATGGAATTGTTGAAGATATTGTCAGAAAAGGGGCAGTTGCTACCACTAGTCGAGAAGGTATTTTAATTTATTAGAAAAAAAATTTAAGTTGAAAAATGCAGTACCATTATTTTTTAAAGACTTTTTGATGTTGGAAATTATTCATAAAAAGGGGTTAGTACTGGTGTAACAGGGAGGAATGTTTTGTTAGATTATAATATTGTATTTGTTTTGTTATTTGTTGGTATCATCCAGTAAAAGGCTTGTTCCTGTGCAAATCAGCAAATTTTATCTATATGCCACTTAATTGATGGAAAATATGATCAATTTTAGTTTTGTAGAACATTAAAATTAAAATCCGCATCATTTGATCCTGATCATTCAGATCATTTGTTAGTGAACATATGTATTATGTGTTGTGTCATACGGATATATCATTCATAATATTCTTTACTTTAAATATGGATAATTATTATTATTATTATTATTATTATTATTAAAGGCTAAAGAAAAAGCAGAAAAAAGGAAAGAAGAAAAAGTGAAAGCAAAATAAACCAGTTAGCAGTTTTCACAATCAAGGTATATTGTATAATTATATAACTAAATCTGTTTACTAGTCATATGAAATTCATTGTGTCAAAAGGTAACATATATTAAAAAGAAACTCTGAATCATTTGAAAGTTTTAAAGAATCTTCTGGTCAAGAATTACGTTATTTGCAGTGTTCCCATATTCAAAGCCGTGTAAGAATCTTCCAATATAAATTTTGCCCCTTATTTAGATATTTTAGCTTTTATTTATTGACCCAATTATCTTAGATATTTAGTTGGCCATGGCCTAGTTGTTAAGGTCATTGAATTCAAACCACTTGTGCCTCACTGCTGTAGGTTTGACCCATGCAAGGGTCTTCCAATTCTTTCATGTGAGAGAGCCTCAGTGGTTGAGTGGTTAGATGCGTTGATTTCTAATCAAATTACCTCTCTGCTGTGGGTTTGATCCCCGGGAGATGCTTGGATAGTTTAGCACAGAGGAAGGTAGTCTAGTACTGGTGTAACTCTCCAGGAACGATGGTTAGGAAACTACCCGCCTATATGACTGAAATACTGTTGGGAAAAGGCGTAAAATGAAACAAACAAACAAACAAAATGTGAGATAGCTATCCAGCTAGCTTTAAGAATTTGAATGTAAATGGTTCTACGGGTTGCCCATTTGTGCCTGAAAAATGGCAAGGAAGGGCTCTTGAGGTCTTCCATCACTATATCAACTTTACTGTGTTGGTGTGACATTAAACCTAGAAAATAAAAGATATTTGATATAAAAGCATCTTGAATGAAAGTCTTACCTGATACAGTCAATCTGCTTTTAGAGCTAATATTTACTGTTGAATAATATCCGTCCCGCCATGTAAAAGAAAAACAACCCTCTCTTGAGTCCCGTGAAGTCTTGTACATGAAAAAAGATTATCTGCTATCTTTGTTTATTAAAAATTTGATATTTAAATCTTTTCTTGTAGGGAACAATGGTACAGGCATGTCTGGCAGAGTTTAAGGTGATGACTATGAAACATATTGTGGTATAACAGAATGAGAGATTTTTAAACTTTACTCTCAGTTCTTCAGATGCTATATTCTCACGGATATCAGGCCCTTGGGAACATACAAGCTGCCGTTGTTGCATTTCTCAAATGACATAACAGTGACAGTGGAGATGTCACATGACAAAAACATGGAAAAAAAATCTATAAAAAAATGGAGGGGGGGGGGGTGTCAAAAAAAAAATAATGTTGCATAATGGAATGACAGTTTGGTTCACTACATTGGTATTTTTCTTAAATAACATAACAGTGGAACATATATTCTCTCACATAACAAAAATGTACAAAGAATAGATTTCAAATTTATTACAAAAACAAACCAACATATTTAAGTACAACAGAATGACAGATCTCTCACTGATTATTAAGACCCTGCTTTAAATCTATTAAAAATCTTGACATGAAATCATATGTGGAATTTTAAACTTGCCATTTATGAAAGACAATTTATTATAATCTGGAAAGTTTCCTAATAAAACAGATTTTCTACACAGGGAAAATGGGGCTAACAGTTTGTTTAAGGGTATGCCATTTCAAAAATGATATTTCATATAAATTGTATTAACAATAAGATACAGTTGAAGATTTTTGAAAGAGTGATAACAAAAATGTCTCTGTTACTTTACACACATAGATATTGTATGTTAACAGAAAGACAAAATGAGCCGCGTCATGACAAAACCAACATAATGGGTTTGCAACCAGCATGGATCCAGACCAGCCTGCGCATTCGCGCAGTCTGATCAGGATCTATGCTGTTCGCTATCAGTTTCTTTACTTGTAATAGGGTTTGTAAGCGAACAGCATGGATTCTGATCAGCCTGGATCCATGCTGGTCGCAAACGCATTACATTGGTTTTGTCGTGACGCGGCTCAAGTGTTCTGCAAAAAAGCATTATGCTGCTATTTAAAGGAGGGTTTAGAACCTTTTAGCATTGATTTCAAGCATGCACCTTTCACTCTGATGGAAGTATACACTCTTATTACTAAAATATAAGTTTAAATTGTCTGTTTTCAATATTCAAACAGTAATTTTGTAAACTAAAGGCAGCAAATATATAGCTTTTATACACTTGAAATATACATGTAGTTAAAAGGTGTAATGGGGAAATGGACAAAAGCTCTACCGGACAAAAGCCCTCCCATCCAAAAATGACAAGGCGGACAAAAGCCCTCCCATCCAAAAATGACAGGGCCTACAAAAGCCCTCCCGTGAAAGTAACTTTTTGTTATTTTAAACTTTTTTTCAGCATTTATTAATCTTTGAATTTCAAATAGGAGTAATCCCTTTATATTGACCACTTACAGATTTTAGCATTTATTATTCAGATGCATGCTCATATAAATGGAAACAAAAATTTCATGATTACAGTTTTAATATGTTAAATGCATTGAAAAGAAAATACAAATTATTCAACATTCATACATGTATTTGATGAAGGAGGGCTTTTGTCTGCCCAGTCACTTTTACGCAGGAGGGCTTTTGTCCGCACTGCCATTTTCACAGGAGGGCTTTTGTCCGCCTTGTCATTTTTGGAAAGGAGGGTTTTTGTCCTGGAGGGCTTTTGTCCTACACTCGGTATAATGGTGGGTTTGTTTGGATTTTTAAAAGAAGCTTGATAAATAATTAATATCTGTTGTTCCATTTTATATAAACATTTCAATATTCTTTGGAATTGAAAAATGTACCAATTATACCAATTACTTCAAGTCAATTCCATGAACAATTATAGGCTTAAAAGTTCAGTCTTGCTAAAATGTATTTATTAAATGAAAAAAATGTTTTAGATATTTTAATTGTTGTAAGAAAGTTATCGATTGAATAAAATGAAATGAATTCGTTAAATAATTTGTTATTGTAGTTACTGTGATTGCAGTTTTTCCATCTTACCCTGTCAAATGGAATTTGCTGACCTGACAAAAGTTTTATGTATCCTTATTACTATGCACGTACAAGAAAAAGTTTCTTTATTTTCAAACGAAGAATATGTTGAAGTTCAGTTTCAGTCACGAAAACATTGTACTGATTTATGTGATTCATATTTAAAGCAGCATGCCTCTAGATTCATACTAATTTTCATGAAAATTTTGAAAACGTATTTAAAATTTAATATTGTGAAAGAACCGGAAAGGAAGCAATTTACACATTATCAATGTCACTTAAAACCCACATAGATTGCCATAAAGAGGTTATAATTTGCAAGAATAGCCGTTAGTGCTATAGTAACGCAGTAGAAATATAAATACTAAAAATTCTGCCATAAACCGCATATAACATAAATTACTACTTAAATCATGAATCCTTTTATTTTTCCTAAATTCTCGGTGCATTTTCCTCAAGTTGGAATTTATTAAATTTTTTGGCTCGTCTAGAAGCATGGAGTTTTAAGTAAATTGTTGTCATTTATTTTAAAAATGAAAGATTACTTTAACGCCCTAAAACAACATACAAGAAGTGCAGAATTTGTATCCAGTAATATGGAACCATTCAAACGCTTCAGAAATATGTTCACCCTCTATATCTTTGAAATCCAGAGATAATATAGTATGGCAAGATGAACGTTCCAGGTGAAACTGATCTCTGCGTTTAAAATACCATTATGAAGCACCAATCTCTGCGCATGGGTATTTTCCAAAATCTATTAAAAAGAAAATTTAAAAGTTAACTGTGATGAATAAATATAATTTCTATATAAATATACCAAATGAATTTGAGATAACGCGTTATGTTTAGTACTTTGGAATAAAAAAAAACTTACACAAGTACTTTGTATAAGTTTTTTTTTTATTCCGAAGTACTAGAAAATATATTTAGATGAAAGACTTGGCAACTTTACAATGTACGCAACATTTAGCGCCCGCAGTTGAGAGAATAAAAACCGAAAAAGGAAGATGCACCGAGAATAATGAGGAACATGAAATGTAAAGGTCAAAACTAAAGATTCTATTTGAATGAGTCTGTTGATAACAACAATTTGTTACAACTCTTATGTGCCGTATTAGAGTTAACACCAGCTTTGAAAGCCGTATTAGAGTTAACACCAGTTTTGAAAGCCATTTTAGAGTTAACACCAGTTTTGAAAGCCGTATTAGAGTTAGCACCAGTTTTGAAAGCCTCAAATAAGTTTTCTTTCTTTTACAAAGGTGTATGACTAACAAATCCAAATCATATCCTTCTAAATCTTACACAATTATTTTCCTCCCATAAAATACACAACTTTAAAAAATGGCTGCCGCTTACATTTTACAAAGCCAGGTCTAATATAAATTCGCAGTAAGTAACAGAAATATGGATGGATGGTTGGACTTTTCTTCTACAAGAATTGTTTGTTTTTATTATTAAAACAAGCGATCATTCATATTTTTTTAATAAAATGAATAAATATCACCGTCATTTATACTTGATTGGCGGACTTATTTTTCAGCTCAAAACTTCTTGTTTTTAATGAGAAATTCCCTCTAAATGGGGCTCTCAATAGGGGAAACAGATTTTAATATTGACGTTAAAATTATGGAAATTTCGTTTTAACTTGTTTTAAAGCATAAAATAAAAAGAAAATTTGTCTGTTTGTTGTGTAAGATGTAATTTTATTTCATCTCGTGAACTTTAAAAACAGTATTCTCACTTGTGGCTACGCCACTCGTGAGAATACTGTTTTTAAAGCCCACTCGATGAAATAAAATTTCATCTTACACAAAACAAACAAATATCCTCTATATCTCAACTGGAAAGTTTGATTTTCTTTTTGTTTTCTCCACGAAATCTTGTATGAAGTTGTATGAAGGTTTATGTTTAAAAGTTCACTATGTATAAAAGGTGAACGACCATTCCATTATTTATAAGATTGTTTTCAATGGTATAAATAGAGCAGAAAGCAAATACCCGAAGTTTTTAAGTTTCATCGTAAAAAGGACATAAATCAGTATAGTATACCAGATAGTACAAATACCGGTAAATTAAATGCGAGAAGAAACGATTTTGAAACTTATAAAGGACTGGATCGCCAAATCAATTCGTTTTCATTGCGTTGAAACCAATGATTTTCTATATGAGCACTAACTGCCTATTGATATTCTAAATTTAATGTCATTTTTCTTACCTTTACAGAAAAAAGCTAATATAAGGAATTGACTACATAACATAATAGTTTAATCTTTTTTCAGTAATTCCCCATTGTAAACGTCTTTTAAGTGAAAACTATGGAATACGTTTTTGCTATCAAAAAGTGCTCGCATTAGTATTATACAGACGGTTCCTTCATATGTATACAACGAAGGAGATTTTCAATGTATTCTCTCGGCATGTTCACAGTTATTCACAGGATCGAGAGATCCTTGCATTAAAATTTGTCTGTACGCATAAAATAATTTTGACTGATCATAAGAACACAATCAATTTCGTGATCAATTTCGTGTTCACTTACTTTGAGGTGTTAAACAACTATTAACGCTATAGTTACTTTTTTATATTTTATTTCGGATCGGTCAATGACACATAATTGGCTCGCCCAAGCATAACTTCCAAAAACTAGAAATTAGATGACTCGAGATGATATCATGATTGGATACAAAATATTTTTTAGGTAATAAAAAGCTAAATTGATATTTGGAAACTATAGACATGTATAACAAGTACTACGAGGGGTGTTCGGGAAGTTTAAGGACTTTTGCGGTATTTTTTTCCTTAATGATGCGTTTTTCTCCATATTTCACAAAATGTAATTTAAATATGTGCTCAATATGTAGTATAACGCTTACCAAGAATAGACAAATACCGCTCGAAATTTGTTTCTATAGGAACCGCATAATGCATACTCGGAGCTCTCCGATTTTATCGTATTTAAGATAATGGTACCGATATATTTAATTGATAATAATTTTCTTAAATTTAAATGGATAACGTCACGAAAAAGCAAGAGGGTTAAATACAAGGTCAACGTCATTTCCTGAAAATTCTACTCGTAAATCGTTACAATTGTTTGAAAAACAACGGTTTTAACATCACTGGTGCTTACACAAATCAAGAGAAAAATGACGTCAATAGGAGACGTTAAAGTCAGGGAAATCATCAAGTTTTGTATAGGAATAGAAAAAACACCAACGGAGACGTATAAAATGATTCAAGTATCTAGTACAACAAAGAAATGCTGTAGATCGCTAGTATTTAGACTGCATGACATGTTCCGAAACGGAAGAGAGTCAATAGAGGATGGCCGGACCTCGCGCCGATGGATTTCCGAGTTTTTCTGGAAATCAAAGCACAGCTGCGTGATCGACGCTTTGATTCGGGGTTGGAATTACAAATTGAAACCCAGAGAATAGTTTCGTCATTCGACAACATCTGGTACGAGGACACGTACGACAAATGGGTCAAGAGGCATACAAAATGTATTGCTGTTAATGGAGATTACGTCGAGAAGTGAGTCGATATGATGATCGTGGAAATCTAACGTTAACATATTTAGCACTGACGTGACGTTAGCGTGCTCCGGGTATGCTTCGGTGTATGTTTTGTTTTATTTGTAATTCACTTATTGTTTAATGCATTTCATTGTAATTTTTACAGCTGGCTGTAAAAGAATTAAATATTTTATGGTGTTTTTCAATTCCTATTATTTATCAAACTACATCAAAAGTCCTTAAACTTTCCGAACACCCCTCGTATCACGCAAATAAAAGTTTTTACGAAATACGAGTTGAAATACCGACATCAGATTAATCAGCTAAGAAAGAATAAACATATTATGAAGTTTGATTGTATAAACATTAAAGTTCCTTAATTTAAGTGACCTTATGCTAAATTTTTACTAGTATAAACATTTGGGTATCTCAAAGTGACTCTATGCTCTCTTTTTACAATTATAGACATTATGCTCACTTTTTACTAGTATAAGTATTAAAGTATCTAAAAGTGACACTATGCTCACATTTTACTAGTATAAACATTGAAATATCTCAAAGTAACACTATGCTAACTTTTTACTACTATAGTAGGATAAACATTGCGTCGCCCTAATTCCAGAGTGTCGTAACTCCAATTTTGAAAAAAATGAGTGTTTGGTATCAAAATGTTCGTAATTTTTTTCTCTGTCTAATGGTAAGAACAACATCACTCTGGTTCTTGCCTGTAACAATATATTGAATGGGTCAGAGTGCTGTAAGTCCAAAAATTGTGATAAAAATACAGTCCAGAATATCGTAACTTCTGAACCAATAGTTTGTTAAGATTCTAGTCACGTGATGCTGTTTTGACAAAATGGCAGATTTTTCAAGGTATCAGGAATGACATTTTACGTTTTATATTTCTTGATAACATGTAAGTGTTTTGCTTTAGATGTTATCTAATTATCTATAGATTAATATTTTATTGAACTGTTTCAAACCTTAAAAAGAAATAATAACTAATCTTAACCCTTGAGCTAAATTCAAAGCACCATGCTGTGTTATGAAATTCGGATAGCATGGAAATCGGATAAATTGATACAAACTTTCAATATTCACAAGTATAAGCTGTTAATAACTTGATATGTGATTGATTATATGATTGATTGATCAATCTTACCATTAAATACGGACAATCAGGTTTTGCATAAGATTGTTTATACTTTTAACTTACAAACAAAACTCATCAAATAGAAACATACTACTGCCATTGTTACATTTTGTACAATGTTTTTCTTTAACTATATAAGACAAATTACCGTACTGGTGCTAAGTGATTCGAATAAAATTTACACATATAACTTTACTACGCATAACTGATGTTAAATTAGGTTAATCATGTTTATTTCATAATTCATAATTTCATAATTTTCATAATTTCAAAATTCTGCACTTTCATACATGTAT